AATATGGAGCTAGCATGGACGACACGTCAGGATCAAGGTTCAGGGTCAGCTAAAATACTCATGACTCAGAGATACTCAGAGAATCATGACACGTACTGATCATCATCATCAGTTCTCGTTATGCCTAGTGGCACATGAGGCTTCAGAGAGGACTTTCCATGCTTTCCTGTCCTGTGCAATCTTCAGTGCAGTTTTCTATGTCAAGGATGCCGCACTCAGGTCACTCTCCATCGTTCGTCTCTATGTTGTTTTTGGGCGCCCCTGTTTTCTCTTTCCCTCTGGTGTCCATGTGAGAGTTGTTTTGGCGGGTATATCAGGATTCATTCTCATAACGTGGCCAAGCCATTTCCATCTTCTCTTGGTTATCATACTGTCTAAAGTTTCTTGGTTTGTGACTTGAAGTAGTTTAGTGTTTGAGATTGTATCTGTCCATAAAATTTTGATAATTCTACGTAGACAAGTGTGGTGGAAGGTGGACAGCTTGTGTGCATCCTTTTTAGTCATTCTCCAGCATTCCGCTCCATAAAAAAAGAACTGGCAAAATGATGCTCTTGTAAAATTGCAGTGTCTACTGAACACTTAATCTTTCCAGAGGCATCCAGCGGTCCAACACCTTGCCAAAACGTTTCTGAACTGGTAATTTTGAACTGACAAGCTGTTTTTAATAAACGATGTCTCCTTCCACCAACCGTCTGAGGATCTCGCCCAGAATTCTGGTGAAATGCAATGATCTATGATTATAATGTACACGAGGTATTCCACTCAGGCATTGAAACTCTTTCTATTGCAACTGATCCTGTAGAGGCATACAATAAGTTACCATATCCTCTCCAAGGAAGCAGAAATGGTCTTGCAGTGGATACCAGCCCACTGTGGTATTCAAGGAAATGAGAGAGCAAATGAGTTGGCAAAAGCTGGGAGTAATCTTCCACAACCTCATCCACCACACAGCTACAAGGAAACCAAAACAGCGCTAAAGCAGTCTTTCAAGCGGGAGTGGAGAAGGCAGAATGGAGATTACAGACCAGAGAGTGACAGCATAAACAAACTCAACAGGAAAGAACAAACATCAATTTTTAGACTTCGGACTGGACACTGTTGTCTTCGAGCACACCTGTACAGGATAGGCATAAACGAATCTGCTACCTGTGATTGTGGAGCAGAAAGACAGATCCCTGAGCACATACTTCAGTACTGCCCTTACCTCTCCCAGCAAAGACTGTGGATCTGGCCCAAGTGAGCCACATTACAAGAGAAGCTATGGGGGACCGGTGGCGACCTTAAACGCACAATCCTATTTGTGACCCAGACGGGGCTCAATGTTTAGCATGACTGATGTCGAACGCAGAAGAAGAATATGACTTCTTGAGGGATAAGCTACATGATCTCAGCCCCAGTCCTTTCCTCATTAATTAGATCTCATCGTCTCTCATCAAGCCGATGGATGTGTTTAAATGAGGTAGCTAGGCATCTGCGGCGTCCGTGGCTTTAGCGTTGCGAACCCGACTCGTAATTCCAACGTACCATGATCGAAACCCACCGCTGGCTGCGGGATTTTTATCAAGGTATCGGGCGTCGCAGGTCGACCCAGCCTAAATTGGGTACCAGGATTGATGTCCTGCGAAAGTAAGACGGCTGGCGAAATGCTTACCACATTACCTCTCTAGTCTGTACAAAATATGGGTGCTTTTCCCATATGCCCGATGCGATTAAGGCGTGAAAATTGATTTTCACTTTACCTTTTACTAGTCATCTTCCTATTAAACCTCGGTCTGCAGCAAGATTCACATCTGTCCCCGATGCGTTCCAACAGGTTGACTATGAGAATCATAGACGAGTAGATCATTGGGTCGGAAAGGACACTGCCATAGGATGGTGAAGCAGATGCCGGGAGCAGGCTGTTAATGGCCTTTTTACAAAACGTGGTCGCATAAGTAGGTGGTGATCATCAATGTATCCAAGTCAACAAATGTTGAATATTAGAGACTGCAAACAACAAAACCCGTTGGTGGTGTATTTCCTACAATAAAACTAGAACGAGACTGCAAACAACAAAACCCGTTGATGGTGGAAGCGACATTTCAAGCCTTGATTCTTGAGAAATTCTGCTTATGGAAATGCTGTCATTTACACAGACAGATCCGTTGCTAGACACGTACAAAGCTCATGGGCCTTCACTGTTATAACTGGGGAGGGGTGGGGAGTTTTAAAGGAAGATGGTAGTGCTTTTTCTTTGACTACAAGTAATCGGACAATGGAGGTGATTGCGGTAACGACTTGGCAAGAGGCAAGATTTCACACATGTTTGCTTTCTAAGTGATTTTCATGAACATGCTTAAGAAGGTATGTTGAGTTCAAAGACAATCAATGGTTGCAGTGGTCCTGTATTCACGACGGGTTGCTCCCCGGCTAGGCTCATGGACCTCAGAACCATGTACTTTGGCCCCAGGACTGCCACATGGATCCGCCATCTAGCCTGTGCTTTTCAACGTGTATACGAGTAAGATTGCAAGCCTAGAAGTACCAGGAGTTGGAAGGATACTGACTTTTGCGGATGATATACTTGCATATATAGGCAGGGGGAAGAGAGGGAACAAACAGCCCGGAAGCTACAAGCGACAGTAAACAAAGTGTACAGAAATGAGGGCTGTCGTCCACCCGGAAAAGGCGTCTGTTTTGTGGTGTTCTCTGGACAACAGAATCGTTAAAACTAATGTCCCAAGTCTCACGATAGATGGTAGAAACGTCAACAGACAGAGCAAACTGAAGTATCTGGGAATTACATTTGACAGGAGCCTGTCATTTAAGGAACATGTGGAGAGTGTTGTGACGAGATGCCAAAAAGGACTTAGTGCACTTAAGACTATGGCTGCAATTGACATAGAGCATAGAATGCTTTTCCCCACTATATCACTGATCACTATACACTGATCCTGTCAGTGGTGGATTATGGCCTAGACGACTGCTTACCGTCTCAAAGAGTCAGCTGAACAAACTAGAGGGCATACAGAACGCGGCTATGCGGGTCATTCTGGATTGCACCAGAGACACCCCAGTGGTGTGTATGCGATACATCCTTGGTTTGCCGACGGTTGCAGGTAGGCAAAAGGTGCTGCAGGCGAAGTCATATCTCAGGGTAGCTGCAGACACAGACAACCCTTTGCACGAAGCTCTGGGTGCAGTTAAGGGTCAGAGGGAAGTCATGGATGGCTCAGGCAGAAGACACAATCAGACAGGTTTGCATCCTTAAGAACATTAGGCGAGGAGAGGAGTGGGTCAAAGTGCCACCTGAACAATCAGACTTGAGTAGGGTCATAATCACACTGAGCCGGGAATGCAGAGACTGGCCAGCAGGTGTCACAGAGGTGGAAATTCAGCAGTTAATTCAAGATTAATGCTCATTCGGAAGATTTGATCATTTACACAGACGATTCAGTGTTAAGAGGCCAAAACAGTGCTTGGGGTTTCTTAGCAAAAGTTAATGGTCGACGTTTGGTGCGGGAGAGCCTAACATATGATACCACAACATCCAGCTTGAGAATGGAGGTGGTCACTGCAGCTTTCCGCTGGCTAGAGAACACGACACACACACATCGTGATTGTAACTGACTCAGAAAGGATGCTAAGGAAGATCAGAACAGGTATGCTTCGTGCAGAGTAAGGAATTCCAGAGAAATTTGACTAAAAAGCTCAACAAAATGGAAAGAGGAAAACGTGCACACACAACACACTCGTAAAGCGTTTCGGCCGGGCCATTTTAACACAAGTGAAAGACACAAACGAGGAATGGAGAGTATGTAGATCTCTAAGGGGTGCGTGAGCGAACGTTTAAAATAATGTGATGCGGACAATGAAATAAAATAAAAATAAACGATGGCTAGAAAAATATAGTCACATTACAATAAAAGAAATGCAAGTGTTAATGATACATAAATGATACTGATAAGAAAGAGAATAAGGTAATAATATGAAATAAAATAAAATAATTAAGCTTGACTGCAGTCACCCCCATAGTTTCACCATTCGTGCAGAGTAGCATGCTTTGCTGCTGAGGACACGGATGTGGAGTATTGTCTGGATTTTTTCACCAGGGAATACCGGTGTGTTGGGAAATGAACAGGCGGACAGACTGGCTGGCTCTGCACAGCTTGGTGGAATACTGATGCATAAGGCAGACGTGGTTAGTGCCTTGTAGGAGAGCTTGGGAGTGACGAGAGGTTCTGGCAGATGCTCGAGGCTCAGAGGAAAGGCAAGACGGACGTTTAACCAGAATGCTACTGGCACCATTAGTATCAGAACTCTTCGCTGGCTGCTGAAGATGCGGACGGAGCGCTTATGGGAATGCCCCGAGTGCTGTGATGTCAGTTCTTCAATCATATCAAATCAAACACACAATAGGTGGATAGTCTCATATATTTAATCGGTACTCTATGGATGATGTACTATATGACTCCAGTCACCTTTACTTCCCTGACATTTCTCGGTACATATTTTAGGCCAGCTAGACGTCAACGTCATTCATGTTGTTTTTTAATGACGTCAGATTCGAACCCTATCATATTTACCAGACTACCAGACCTAGAGCTGTTTATACAATCTTTTTTAAATGTCAAATTTTACGACATTGAGTGAAAAAAATACCTTCACAATTAACTGATATAGTTACCTTATATAAACCTTAAATTTTATGTTAAAAGTGTCTAAAGAATCAATGTCTGAATATTCATTGTAGTCCTGTTATATTAAAAGAAGAGAGATAAAACGTCCTTTATTCTATTTATAAGTTGTTTTTTACGACACATAAATCGGGGTCAGGTCGTTATTGCTCGTTTTTTCAAGATGGCTTCTTGACCGATTATCAGCATGGCACTCCTACCAGCTGTTAAATCCCCCAAATGAGCGGGCCCCTGACCCCTACATTTATTAATGCTTTATTTTTTTAGTGTACTCTTCTACTAGCGACAGAACGAGGCAAATAGATTTGAGAAATAGCTTTGGATATGTCGTCAACTGGAAGTCCGGGCCCAAGTACATCAACTGCCAATGGCGGTTCATCTAAAATGTCTGGACTAGCCAAGCGATCAACAGCGGCTAATTTCTTCAACAAAGATGAAGAAACAGAAAAAGTATCGGAGCCGCAGTCAGCTACATATGACGTTGTAAGATAAATCTCTTGTATCTGTAATTAATTGACGTTTGGGCCTAAAATCAAAACAAACAGTAACAGATGCTCGTGAAACTCACTGAAACTGTGTTTTTTCGTTTTTAGAACTAGATAAATCGATACTTTTGTTTATAATTTACTTGATCCACATATTTTTTAAACAGTGGAATAGACGTATTATTATTTTCAAATTAAAGGAGGAAATAGATTTGAGTAACCTTTAAGTAAACTAAGTTATTCAATTTTCAATAACATTACACAGACAAATGATAAGTCCAAATATTTCTATTTTTAAATACTGAAATAATACATACATACAATCATGCTGGAAGACTGATAATAAAACATTTTTGACTTGAAAATATAACTAGTAATTAATCCAATTTGAAGTGTGCCACATGTCAGTTGTCATAAACACTGAGAACACAGGAGTTATAGCATTATGAATTAAATCAAAGGCTTTTTTCCTGATGGTATGTAGTACTGGGATAATTGTTTTTTCAGCATTGCAGACATTCTGTTGAGTACCGGCACTATTGTTTACAGAAAAAAGTCCCTGATTTTATTTATATCCTCCCTGTGTGGGTTCCGGAGCTCCATGCTGGGCAAATCAAGAATAGACCCACTGCCATTCGTTAACTCTTTGAGTCCCAAGGAACGCATCATACGTTCATAGGTTCATACCTAGAAACCCAATGAACGCATGATGCGCCGATTTTATTACTTTCTTTACTACCCCGTGGGCTTGTGATGCTAAACCCCCTGGGATTCAAAGAGTTAAAGCATATCCTTAGAGTCAACTAATTTGGAGCTTTTTTCGAAGTCAGAGTGCACCTGCCCGAGCCGCAAGGAACAACTAACTGCACACAAATAAGCCAGTGAAACAGATGTATATGCAAAAACTCAGGCCCTGGCACAAAACCAAAATTTAAAAAGGCGAACAACCAGGAGTTTCCGCCTGACCTTGACCATTGAACAAAGAAGAAAATTGATTTCCCCCTCAAAAACCCCCAATGATATTGCATATTAAACAAATTTGTTTGAACCTTTTTCCACAGGTTGTTGAGCTCCTCAATAACGCAGCTGTTATGGGAAAGAGTGCTGACAAGATTGCAAATCTCCGAAAGGTAATGAATGCCGATTATGGAAAAGCTGTGTTTTTAAAAATTAGCTGGCCTTAGTAAGACAGCTAAGTTTTGGTCAACCATATCAAATGCGGCGTATATGACACCTGACATTCCATTAATGTCACCAGCTTCGGATGAAGGAGCGCACTAGGGAGGATTGTTGTCTTATCCTAGGATGAGGTACTGCAGCCTGAAGTTAGTTAGTTGCAGCCTGAAAACTTCATGTTATGGCAGGGCAGGCCTTAACCTTGGCTGGCAGCTAGTCTAGGGGGTTAAGCTTTGTCAGGGAGAGAACTGCTCTTCTGATCCAACAGCTTCTGCAGCTTGCTTTGTTCTAAACATACTAGTGTTACCTTTCCATTGGAGTTAACAAAGCAGGTCGAGGGAGGGATGATGCTGCATAGCAGCATAGCAATACTGCAGCAAGAACAGTCTCAGCAATACTGCGACTAGGTTTGGGCTGCTGTGCAAGTACGGAGTGGAAAAGAGGGAACGAAACTTCATCCTTCTCCTTAACGTGATACTTGCCATAATGGGCGCTATTCTCATCCTTCGTGCTGTAGTACCACTCCGCTGCAACACGATTGTACTTGACAGTCCATATGTCAAGGAAAATCCTTCTCCTTAATTGAAATTGTTGCCATGGGCGATTTTTTCAGACTAAGGCAGTGTGTGCTTGTCACTGAATCCTACCACTGTATTATCTGTTTTTACTTATCTATATCTAGCCAGAGAAGAAAAGAAATATGACTGCTCAATAAGTCCTATGAGCTTTTAAATCTAAATCTTACACTTGTTCTTCTTCTTGTGTTCGATTTCTGATTTAGACCGACAGACAAGGTTTTTTTGTGGATAAACTGGGTCTCTTTTTTTTTTTTTGGGGGGGGGGGGGGGGGGGGGGGGGGGGACCCATTTTAGTTCCCTACAACTTCTGAGTGCAGTATTGACTCATTAGGCCAGTATTCCCTTCTTAATGAGCAGTACAAGGGACATTCTTGCAGGACATGTTCTGTAGTCTACACACACAGGCATAGTGGTGAACTACTTAGACAAATCCTGGGCATATGCTGGTTAAGTTTGTAATGTCCTGTCCTGAGGCATAGAATAAGGACCTGCCCATGCCGGTCAAGTAAGTGGTGGTCATCTCTGGCCAGACTCTGTTCACTTCTGATAAGCTGGATGACCCTTTTTATTATCAAAGTATGTTTCTGTATTCTCTTCCTGTTCACACTGCCTCTGTCTTAGCAAGTTTATCTGCTGTTTTGTTTCCTGATATACCAGTGGGGTGGCGCCCACCGAAGTACAGTACACCTTTTTTCTGCTGCCACCTTGCCAAGTTCAGATCTCAGGTCAGGGAGTTTACCACTCTTGAGGGCTTGAAGCACCAATAGCGCAGCTGTGAAGATGACCACTTGGTGGCAGTCAGAACTGGTGTTGTGTAACATTTTGGCAGTCTGTTTTTGTGCTAAACCTCTGCTTTGTAGTTGGAACAGTATTTACCAGTGGGTATATACTTTGTATCGTGGTGGTTGTATGGCTATGTGATAAAGACACCAGCACCCGCATTTTTAACCACATTTGTTGCTGATCCATCTGTAAGCATTATACATGACTGTTCTGAAGTTTTTCTGGATCATACTTAAAGCAGCTGATCATTTGCGAAGGTCATTGGACTCATCACCAGCTGTGAGTCCACTGACTGAAGTAATTATCTGTATTTGTGTCGCTGAGTTGCTCCTAAGCTACAGGGTATAGTGAAGGTTTCAGCAGTGTTCTCACGGGTAGATCTGCTTGATACGTTCGTAAACTAAGAAACACTGTCCATCTAGAAATGAACAGTGTGGGTTAATCAAAATTAAATGGCTTGCACTTTTGTGTTCAGCCTAAAAAGAGCAGCTGGCATGTTATGTTGTGGTTTACAGCCAGGCTGCTATATCTGCAAGCCACCATATCTGAATGCACCTTTTATTCTTCTTGTTCACCAGCTATTATTCCAGCGGAAAGTTCTGATTGCTCGTCCACTTTTGGACTTTGGTCTTGTTCCAGAACCTGAGTGTTGCATGCACATCCGTTTTACAGCTATGACATATCTATATGCAAACTCTTGGTTTCTTGCCTCTTAGGCAGATGCACTCTGACTTCAAAGGAAGCCCCAAATTAGTCGATTTACGACATGCTTGTTGGGGACGCCGTGGGTTTATTTTTGTTTTCCCCACAAGGGGCCCCAGTACCCAGAGGGGGAGACCTTTTATGACATGCTTATTAAAGGGATCTTTGAGTTCATGGATCCCCAGAGATGCAGTGCCTTGAAATCCTCTAGCTCTCATTGTCCCATTTTAGTGCATGCGTGCTAACATCAGTCAAAACCCAGGCAGAGAAAGCCCAGCATGCTGCAGGCTTTTTCCTAACTAGTACTAAGTGTCCCAGTGCACCTAAATTAAAGGTGTCTAACGAGCTGAAAAAGATTGTCTCTCTGTGTGTGATCATTAAAGTTCTGGACCTTTGGTCTGTTTCTTGTTGATGTCCAGAGGGCACAGCCCGTGATATGGGGGAAGGTTGGTGGGAAGCTCAACATAGGGATGTGAGAATAAGCATTCAGGGGCAGGTTGTGATGCTTCCTTGTGTAAGCCCAGGGCCAGAGCTTCATGTCTTGGTTCCTGCATTTATTGTAACCTTTTTGGACAGCAAAGAATGCCCATAATCTTCCCCTGCCTTCTCTTGATTGCCGACCAGGCTACACAAGGTTGTCCTGGGTGGGTTCTCTAAGTGTGGCACCAGTAGTTAAAGGGAAAGTGTACACGACATGAATAAGGCTGTATCATGTCCCACGAAACCTAAGAGGAAGGATAAGCAAGTGAACGAATGCCAGATGAAGTCTGATGTCGGCAAAAACCCACAAATAGTGCAGCTATACTGTAAACAAGCACAATGCAGTTACTAGGGCAAACGAAGAAGACGACGACCTAGTTATTTGTTCAGTTTTAGTGTGGTTTTTTTAAAACCATCTAATTGATCTTATTTCTATAAACACATTTATTGAAACTATTATGATTTGCTCATTTGCAGGTCCAGGAACTCATCATACATCACTCACCGGACTTGCTGGACAACTTCCTGGATGTGAGTGTTTGGAGTTATTGGTCTTTAGTTTCTGTTTAGCATTTTAAACTATTTCAGTATGGAAATGTGGTTATACGGAAGAATAGGTTGTATTTCATGGAAACAAAAGCACACACACACAGAGGTTTTGAAAGGAAAAAAAAAAAAAAAGTTACTGAACAGAAAAAAAATTTAAGTATTTTTGCCACATTAAAAGATATAGCACTCTTTTAAAAACCATACTAAAGGTAAAAAACAAGAGGTAGTCAACGATACAAGTGGGAGGACATCAAGAGATGGAAAAACAGTAGTCTCATAGAGAGTACTCCCGATAAGAGAGACAGAGCATTGTGATCCATTGTAGCCGACTTTCATTGTGGAGACGACACCTGATTAATTGATTATTTCTGGGCTGTACAAGAGATAGCCCAGTAGTATATATACTGGCGCTAACAACTGTTACAGATAGGCTCAAAGTGCAAGGTCATACCTCAGAGTAGCAACAGACAAGAAACACCTCCTGCAGGAAGCCCTAAAGCTAAGGGTCAGAGACTGAAAACAGGAAGGTTTTGGATGGGACAAGTCAGAGACTCATTTAGCCGTGTGCAGGCTTGAGAATATTGGTGAGAGGAGAGGAGTGGGTCACAGTGCCATAGCAACAGTCAGACTCGTGAAGGGATCTAATCACATTAGGTCGGGAGTCCAGGGACTGGCTAGTGGATCTTCAGCATCAGATTTCCGAAGTAAACAACTTCACGACAATTTCTACTCAGGTGATGTGAATATCTACACAGCTAGCTCTGTGTTAAGAGGCAGAAGAGGACATGGGGGTTCATAGCAAAAGCGAATGGATGCAGCAAAGCCTTGCATATGATATCACAATGTCTAGTTTGAGAATGGAGGTGGAGGCAGTCTCTGCTGCCTTCCGCTGGCTTGAGAATCAGCTGTACAATATGTCCTGATTTTAACTGACCCACAGAGTATGTTGAGGAAGGTGAAAACAAGCATGCTCCGTGTAGAGTGGCAAGCATCACTTCAGAGGTCCTGGATAGTTAGTATCCTTTGGATATTTTCTCCAAGTCATAACGGTATGTTGGGAAATGAGCAGGCAGATAGACTGGCTGGCTCTGCACCACTTGGTGGTGAATTGATGTTTGACAAGTTAGATATTATGAGGGCCCTTTGGGAGTGAGGGAACAATGCAGAGGCACAGATAGATCATTACTGTCTAGGGAGAATGGCGCTGCGAGGAGTTACCAGGGGATCTGGCTGACACTCAATACATAGGGGAAGGATGAGAGTTTTGTACAATCAGACGGTTATTGGTACCATCGGAATTGGAACTCTTAGCTTGCTGCTGATGATGGGGACTGAGCACTTATGGGAGTGCCCCAGGTGCTGTGATGTAGATTCTTAATTCAACATTCTGTGGCTAGATTTACACTTGATTTGCGACTAACTTAAAAGTCACATGTAGAAGCAGTACAGGGGAAAGCATTCAAGAAGCTTGCAGTGATGGAAAAATTAGCGGGTACCACATGGGGCGCTAACTCCAGAATCCTGAAACAAGTATGTACTGGAGCAGTCAGGCCAGCCATGGAATATGCCTCCACTGCATGGGCTGCAGCAGCCAAGACAACAATGGGAAAACTGGACAAGGTACAGAATATGGGATTAAGGATTGTTCTCGGAGCCATGAAACTACAATCATCAGAGAGATAGAGAGGATAGCAGATACTGAACCACTTGAACTCAGAAGACAATACAAAACTCTTTTACAGTATGAGAGATTAAAAAGACTTCAAAGTCACCCACTGCATTTTAAATTTCAAGAGAGAACAAAAAACAGACTGAAGCGTCAGAGCCCCAACCACCTTGCTAGAGAGCTGTACAGACAGCACCAAGATCTGCTTGAAAGAGATATTGCACTGTGCAAAAAACTTAGGCCAGAACCATGGACAAGCAAGCAAATGTAGTCCTAAAGGTACCAGGGATCACTTCAAAAGATGCCCAGACGGAGACACAACAGAGAATCCTGGCTCTTGCTATGCTTGATGAGAAGTATCCCAACACCACTTGGACTCAGGTTTTCACCGACGGCTCTGCTACAGATGCAGTCAGAAAGGGGAGCTGTGGAATATACATTAAACCCCCTAGCAGTAGAGCAGAAACTCTCTCTCTACCAGCAGGTGACATCTGCACCAACTTCAGAGCTGAGGCAACTGCCCTCCTCTCTGGAGTCCAACATCTCATCACTTAAGAACACAGAGGGCACAAAATTGTTATACTTAGTGACTCATTGTCTGTTCTCCAAGCACTATCAAGCAAAAAACAAGACAAACTAATTGCAGATCTAAGGACCAACATTGGCTTACTCTCCAATGAAGCAAAACTGGTCTTGCAGTGGATACCAGCCCACTGTGGTATTCAAGGAAATGAAAGAGCAAATGAGTTGGCAAAAGCTGGGAGTAATCTTCCACAACCTCATCCACCACACAGCTACAAGGAAACCAAAACAGTGCTAAAAAGCAGTCTTTCAAGCGGGAGTGAAGGCAGAATGTAGATTACAGACCAGAGAGTGACAGCATAAAAAAACTCAACAGGAAAGAACAAACATCAATTTTTAGACTTCAGATAGGACACTGTGGTCTTCGAACACACCTGTACAGGATAGGCATAAAAGAATTGTCTGCCTGTGATTGTAGAGCAGAAAGACAGATCTCTGAGCACATACTGCAGTACTGCCCTAACCTCTCCCAGCAAAGACTGGATCTGGCCCAAGGGAGCCACATTGCAAGAGAAGCTATGGGGGACCGGTGGCAACCTTAGATGCACAGTCCTATTTGTGACCCAGACAGGACTTAATGTTTAGCATGACTGATGTCGAACGCAGAAGAAGTGGCTAGATGCTTGCCTTTCAGCCCGCAGCTCTTGAGTTGGAATTTCCATCATGTTGGATTTTTTCTTTTGAAACTGATCTTAGCTACTATGTCGACGCAGCCTAAAATGGGTACCAGATAATATCCTGGGAAGTAAAGGCAGTCGGCCGGCACAACTTTGTTCACATCAGACACAGAGTGCGATTGCTTTATGAAAACCTGAGACTAGCTAGCATCATGTGCTTGACAGTCTGCCTGAGTAAATAGGCTGCAAGATTTAATCATTGTCAGCATCAAAGTCCACTTGTAAGTGAAGGATGTGTTTTGTTGCAGGAAATGCTGGCATACCAGTCAGATTCTTCAACAGATGTCAAGAAGTTCATTATTGGATTTATGGAGGAAGCTTGGTAAGTTTCTTTTTATTTCTTTGTATAATACAGTGTCTTATTTTGTGGTTATTCAACTGTTATTGTTTTTAATGAACTGGGTTACCATTGTGATGTGGTATATTTGATTCTAAGTAAGTAGAAACATTATCCATCTGGACATTAAGTTGTTGCCTGCTTTTTGTTTTTCTGCACTCGCCCCCATAAGAGCAGTTAAGGAATAGTGTTATGGTTTACAGCCAGGCTCTGATACCTGCAGCTTTGACCCCAACATGTCCAGTTTCAGCAGAGTCCTAATTAGTTACCTTTAGGGGGGGGGCTGCAGAACCCACACAGGGAACGTCATGCTATGAATGACATAATTCAAACAAGTATAGGAATCATTATAAATCTAGGTCTAATCCCAGCCAGTCCATAATTACTGTGCTTAGTCATGCATTAAACATCTACATATATTCCTGCATATATTCCTATGTCTATTTATATTTTATCTTATAGTATTACAGATGGTCCCACATATACTTCTACACATATCTCTACTTCTTTACATTGTCTTATATGAGAATGCCAATCATTACTTTGGCTTATCTTCTCAAACTGTTGCACCTTACCACGGTGGGACAGCTTGTGTTTCTTTGATACCCTGAGAGCTATGCTGGTGGTAGGGTGACTAACAGCAGGGCCTCCCAAGCTGGACTGGTCAGAGGTTGGAGAACAGACAAAGAGACACACCCTGGTCCTCTAGGTTTGGGACTGAAGTGTGGGTGCTGATGCCCCCCCCCCCCCACCTTTATAAAACCTTATCACAAAACTGATATCTAAACCTTGAACTGTAGATTTGTTTGTGCTGTTAACAATGCATTCTTATTTATTCTAGCAAAAAGGATAATGATTGTTTGCCAAAAATCTTGCCAAACATGATTATGCTCCTCGGAGATGATGATATCAATGTACAGAAGAAAGTCATCCTGACTGTCAGCAGTATGTTCAAGCTGACATTGATTGTAAGTTCCACTTTTATTTGGATGTGATAGGTTGGACCTTTTTTTGTGTGTGCACTAGTTGTTGCATTATGTACATGTATTTTGTATATGGGAGCCTCTGTTAAAACAACGGATCAACATCGTAACAGATTTTTGATTCCCAAGTTTTGCCTGGGCAGCGCTGGGATTTTGTATGTGCGCAACAATACACACGGGCATCTAACTTACTACCCAGAGATCTGGGGAAATTACTAGAAGTCCACATGAAAAAAACCCAGCCTTTGCTGGGGCCTGAACCGGGGACCTCCAGCACTCAAGGGGGACGCCATGCCTTGAGAACACACAGCCCAGAGACAGGGGGTCTCTGTAGTAAAGTGATCATGCTGTTTGCCTTGTTCTCTGAAGGTCATGAGTTATTCGATTCACAGATGCAGTTTTTAAGAAAATCCGTGGGGATTTTCACTGGAACTAGAGAGTTCATGATGGCAGGCGGCCAGCTATTCTGCTGAGAGAGACCAAGCCATATGGGATAAAACGTGATGCAGTGACGCTGCGCCTTTTAAGTTTTTCCCTGTGGGTTCGGGGAGCCCATTGTGTGGATAATAAAAATAGACTCACTGCCTTCCTAACAAGTATGTCATGAGAGTCGACTAATTGGGGAAGGGGGGTCATGCTTGAAATTTGGAGTGCAACTGCCTGAGAGGCAAGGTACCAACATTCTGCACAATAATAGCCAGATCTGTAATATGGATATGCATGCAGTGCTTAGGTTCTGGAACCAGATTAAAGCCTAAAGGTGGATGAACAACCAGAACTTTCTGTAGGAGTTTGCAGCCAGTGTACTCAAGGAAGAAAAACAAAAAAGACAAGTGTAAGTACATTTATTATGAAGTTATAATTGTTCTGGACTGAATTTTTAATATTCACATTACAGGTAGGTGCTGTGATCAGCATGTGGTGCCTTGTATATTGTGCTTACTTTACCAGAGAGAAGATATATGTTTATGTAGGCATTGAGAGTGATGAGGTGCAGGAGGAAGAGAGACAGCCAGACTGTGATGTTATTGTGCTCACACTGACCAGATATTCACACAGCCTCGTAAACAGCTCTAGTCACAGCACTACAGAAAGTCCTATCATTTAGACATCATGGAAGCAGATCCAGAGGTTGACCATTCAAGCGATGGGTTGATGGAATCTATGAGGCCATAAATATGAGCACCTTCCCAGCATATGCCACGGCTCCCACCTGATGCCCCTTAAAAACCTGAGGCTAAAATGCAACACAAGACTAGAGGAGAAGAAGTAGAAGCCTTGTAAATTGTGCATCAGAGAGTTCTCTGAGAAGGGAAGAAAACTGTCGAATCACACTTCATAATTCTGTTACCTTGTATCTGTCCATCCATCCATCCCTCCACCCATATGTCTGTTGTTCACACTGATGCAGCATCAGAATTACCATCTTCTGCTCTTGTATCCTTGCAGTGGATCAGCAAAGCCAAGAAAACTACACATGACATGAGCTCAGTGTGGGCCCATCTGTTTGAGTTGAAGAACCTTCTCTATGACTTGTTGGAGTCAGTCAATGATGGGTAGGTACCCACATTTCATGTCTAAATACCATAGTGCCATTTAAAAAATAATAATAGATTGTTTAAATACAAATTTGAAATAAATTATTAATAATTTGTTAAATATTTGTAGCAATAGATTTTAATATATTTTAAAAATAATTTTTCTTAAATAATAGAAACAAGTTTAAAAAAATAGATTGGAAACAGATAAAGTATTTAATCTCACTGATCCCCTCCGACAAACCATGTATTGTTTGCTGATTGTTATTTTAGCCACTGACTGACTTAATATGGTGAAAATTATTATCTTTGTATCTTTATTTCAGTCCAGTCCACTGTTAACAGAGGTGTTTTCTACTCACATTCCTAATTCTATCTGTTCTTGTGATTGTATTCAGTTCTTGTGATTGTATTCAGTTCTTGTGATTGTATTCAGCTCTTGTGATTGTATTCAGTTCTTGTGATTGTATTCAGTTCTTGTGATTGTATTCAGCTCTTGTGGTTGTATTCAGCTCTTGTGGTTGCATTCAGTTCTTGTGATTGCATTCAGCTCTTGTGATTGCAATCAGCTCTTGTGGTTGCATTCAGCTCTTGTGATTGCATTCAGCTCTTGTGATTGCATTCAGCTCTTGTGATTTCATGCAAGCATGTCATAGAAGGCAACTAATTAGGAATAGTTATTCTGAAGTCACAGTACATCTGCCTGAGAGGCAAAGGACCAAAAGTGTGCATACAAATAAGCCAGATCTGTAAAAGTGATGAATCACACCCAACTCAAGTTCTGGAATGAGACCAAAGTTCAGAAAAGGATGAACAGCCATAACTTTTTGCCAGGTTTTTTAGCCAGCGAGTGCTAAGGAGATCAAGTATTAGGCTTGTGCTGGGATGTGACCTGTCATTTTTAACTCATTAACTTAGTTAATAGTTTATTTTTTCTGTATTATGTAGTGACAGATTGTATGAAGTATGATCAGCCATGAGTTTTAGCTCTATTTAATGAATTGGCTAAAGACCGGTTACTTTTAGTGCTTTATTGTTTATTTTTCAGAATTCGAACCCATGTGGTCAAGTTTCTAGAAGGTCTAACACTTGTGTTTTCAAGGAAATCACCAGTAAGCATACAAATAAAGAACATTTTTTTTTCATCTCGAGTATTTTATTGTCAGTAGATTTCTAAGTGCACATGAAGGAAGAAGCAAGCTGTTGAAGTTTACTGTTAATGTAGCAAATGATCTCTTTTTTGGGGCATGTGGGGCACAACCAGGACAGGCGTAAGCAGTCCAACAAAGACACCACCTGAAATGACTCAACTGACCCCTCCCCCCTCCCCAACTAGTGGAGCCCAGATTACCTGCCCAAGAACATTGCGTGCCATGATCAGCTTTATCACTGACCTGCGTACTCTTAAATCCCATTTGACTTAGTGTGTGAAAGGACTGGTCTTCATCATCGTCACTCCCCATGGGAAGCCAGGGCCCCATTGTGGGAAAAACAAGAATAGACCCCCTGGCTCACTAACAGGCGTGATGTAAGAGTTGAATAATTAGGAGTTTCTTTTGAAGCCGGAGTGCATCGGCCCAAGAGACAAGAAACCAAGTCTGTGTACAAATAAACCAGATCTGTAAAATGGATGTTGTACAAAAACCTCAGCTTCTGGAGCAAGACCATAGTCTTGAAGTGGTCGAGCAACCAGAACTTTGTGCTCGAGTTCACAACTGGTAGACACGAAGAAGAAGAAGAAGCAACAGCCATGGTGAAGATGTTCTTGTAAAATAACTCTGTATGATTCGTAAGAGTTGGAAGTTGATAAAGAATAATCATGCTTGAGTCATCAAAGTCAGACATACATACAAAAAAATCTTGTAAATGTCACATAGGCGAGATGAAAATGTGTACGAGTCTCTAAGGAAAATATTACTGAATAACACTTATTAGGAAACACTAAGTAAATATTATTCAGTAATGTTTTCCTTAGTTCTCGGCTGTCTGCTCAGCTTTGTTTTTAAACAATCTTTTTCTTACAGGACTCCGAAGGGACCAAGAAAAATGACATTGACATGTCACTGGAGCAGGTGTCAGAATCCAATGGCATTGTACGAATTAGTCAACTCGAAGAGGAAGGGAAGAGGGCATTCGGATGCCTTTTGCAGTTTCAGAGTTCTCCGCATATTTCTAGGTAAGTAAACCTTGCGTGAATGATGAGAATACCCTGGACACAAAGCCAACTGATTGCCTACATCAGAAGGAGTCAGTTCCCCCTGGGGGTTCTAGGGCCCTGTTATAGGGAAAACAAGAATAGACCGACTGCCTACCTGAAAGCATGTCGTAAGAGTCGACTCATTGCGAGCTTCATTTAAAGTCGGAGGGTATCTGCCTGAGAGGCAAGGAACCAGCAGTCTGTATACAAATGAGTCATATCTGTAAAACATATCTGCAACACTCAGGTTCTGGAATAGGACTGCACTCCAGAAGCGGAGGAACAACCAGAACTTTCCGCCACAGTTTACAGCTGGTGAACGCAAAGAAAAAGAAGAGAAGGAGTCAGTCTACATTCTTTGGTCATGTCATGCGAAGGACATAACTGACGTACAACATGTCGAGGGGAAAAGAGGCAAAAAGAGACGAGAGAGAAAATGCTAAACAGTTGGACATCATGGCATGAATCATCAGTTGAAAGTACTCAAGGCGGAAGATTGTGAATAGGCATGACTACCAACCATCCAAAAGTGGACAAACAACCAAAACTTTCCGCTGGAGTTTACAGCTGGTAAACACTAAGAAGAAGAAGACGACGATGATGTAAAGCAAGGTCCACAAATTCTATCTCCCCCGTGTGGGTTCCGGGGCCCCATTGTGGGGAAAACAAGAATAGACCCACTGCCTCCCCAAAAGCATGTCGTAAGAGTCGACTAACTGGGGCACTTCCTTTGAAGTCGGAGTGCATCTGCCGGAGAGGCAAGGAACCAACAGTCTGTATTCAAGCGAATGAGATCTGTAAAACTGATGCACACGCAACACTCAGGTTCTGGAGCAGGACTGCAGTTCAGTAGTGGACGAGCAACCAGAACTTTCCGCCAGAGTGTACTGCTGGTGAACGCGAAGAAGAAGAAGAAATTCTAACTGGAACAATTTTAGAATTCTAAAGTTAGGATGAGATTGAACTAATAAGTTTTTACTTTGAAATTTTGCCAAGTAACAGAGAATGGTTTATAGAACTAAATCATTTCAGCTAATGTTGGAATTTCCAAAAAAATATAAAGTCTATATATATATAGATTTAAAGATATATACTTATATAAATAAAATTTCATTTGTTTCCTAGCATTAATTTGATGACCGTCATGAACGCCCTGTCCACCATCGCAAAGCAACGGCCAGAATATTTTGACCAGGTTGTCCAGAGTTTTGAAGCTCTTCACGGTAAGATGTCTGATCTGTGTCGTTCTTCATGCTGGTTCCTTTGATAAATATTTATTTCTGACTTATTTTAATTATACCATGTAGCCTGCCAAAGCCTGTCAGATATGATGATAGAACCAATACCAGATCAAGAACAATAAAGAGCATCAGTACCAGTCTTCTTTTTCGTCTTCGTCTGCATCTTCTGCGATCATCCTTTAAAGGGTAGTTGGCACATTATGTTGTGGTTGACTGCTAGGCTGTGATATTTGCTGTTTTCAGTCCAACGCATTTAGTTTCAGCAAATCCTTTATTTAGACGCCTTTTACAATACGCTTGTTGGGGGCAGTGGAGGAATTCCTTATCCGTCACATATGGGACCCTAGGACACATACAGGGACTATTGGCCATGCCAAAGCATAGCGTTGATGTGGCCTCTCTTAATAATTGTGCAGTGCTAGCTGGCCGCATGAAATAAGAGTGGAAAAGAAACTGGGGCACCTCCGATGGCCCCTTTTGATGACTGGGTTAATGGAATTACTTTATTTCTTTAGATTACAGAGCGTTGGAGACTTACAGTGGAGGAAGCAATAGAAGATGCTGATGAAGTGGGAAAAGAAAAAAGTAGAGTCTGCTGCCACTAGCTCCAAAATTATTGATTGACAAAAGTTAGCGAGGAAAACCCCCTCTTCCTCTGCTCCTTAACAGTACTTCTAACCACCATTAACTTGACAGACATAGGGTAAACATCAGGGGCTCCCCCATGAAATTGATTCTGAAAGGAGCTGCGCAAGTCAAAATCAAAATCAAAATAACCTGCTGTCCTGTGGGTTGAATAGTTGTGTTATAGCGTGACAGTAACATACCGCCAAAAGCTTTTACTTGATTATTGCAAATATTCACCATTCAGCTGCTAAATCTCCCATTTGACAATTGTTTTAACAGTTTATCTGCAATTTGACATGTTTTATAGTTAATCTGCAATTTTACAGATGTTTTATAGTTAATCTGCAATGTGGCAATTGTTTTAACAGTTGATTTGCAATTTGACAAATATTTTAACAGTTAATCTGCAATTTGACAAATGTTTTATAGTTAATCCGCAATGTGACAAATGTTTTACACAGTTAATCTGCTGTTTGACAAATGTTTTAACAGTTCTTCTGCCATTTGACAAATGTTTTAACAGTGAATCTGCCACCAACTCTGGCCAAGTCACAGGTGAGCAGTGTCCGTAAGAACCTCAAAACTCAGATGATGAGTTTGCTCAAGCATCCAGCTTCGGTGGATTTCATACCTCAGATCTCAACCTTGTTAATTGACCTGGGTGCCAGCCAGTCAGAAGTGAGTTTAATTTTTCCCCCTAAAGTTGTGTCTTTCAAATCATTTGTTGCCAAATCTGATTGCAGTCGGTGTCTTTGATGTTGTTTTAATACCTTTGATTGCCAGTGTAACAAGATTACAAATGATGAATTGTTGAGGAAAACAAATTGTTCGTCGCAAACATTATCAAAGAAAGAAGATAAAGATGGCGTGAACATGTTTGCAGAATGCCTCTTGATACTTTGGCTAAGACATTACCCTGGTGGATGATGGCAGATTAAAAAACAAAACAAAGGAGATGTGGATAACCTAAATAAACCTGAAGAAGGAGAGCAGAAAGGGAGATAAAGAATGTTAACTAACATAGGCAGAAAAGCAGGAGTGGAGATCACTGCTTTATGTTATTTGTCTCAACAGTGACATGAAGAGGATATGTAGACCACTTTCTGTGTCTTTGATGTTGTTTGAATACCTTTTATTGCCTGAGTCATCGTCATCATGTAGCAGGTCCTTTGCAGAGCGTCGCTCTTATCACGGGCTGCCTGAAAGAAACCAGTTCTCACCAGTTCTCCCGCCTCATGTACGTCATACTCAGGTAGTCACTTATATCCTATTCCCATCTTCGTGTCGGTCGGCCCCTGCCCCTCCTTCCTAGTACCGTGCCTTCTGCTATAATTCTTTCCAATCCTTTGTAGCGCTTGATATGACCAAAATATTTCAGCTTCCATTGCCTGAGTAACCAATAACAATTGCCTGGAAAAAGCTAAGGAAAACACAAAAACATTGTACACTTAGCTTGGCTTGCTTTGCGAACAAAATAAAAAAGGTCACGTTTTTCCAGCATACCTGAAGGGGGAACTTGAGGTTATAATTGTGACTAGGTTATGTGTTTCCTTCTAGGCCCTCATCATATACAGTTGAACATATACTAGGCTGCATGCTGAAATAGCCAGATTTCGTTAGTATGCTAGTATTAAAATTAACAGACTTATCCTGATGTTCAGATTTGACCTGCTATTGCACTTAAGTGTATGAATTGATACATGTTTGTTTAGGCAGTGTTTTGAGGATTGTTGTGAAATGTAGTATGTTGTAGCTTTATTAACTTGCAGTAACTGGACACTTTGTCCTGAGCAGATTACAAAGAACATGCCTAAGGATACTGAGAGTCGCAAGAGAAAAGCCCAGGAACTGAGTGCCAGCTCAGCAGTCAAGAAGATGAAACCAGAGGTATGTACATAGATGAGCTTGTTCCCATGCACTTGACTGACATTTTTATATATGTAATGGGAGGAGAAAAGGGAGGGGGGTAGGGGCTATGTGTACTGATATTTCTTCTCTTGTACCCAGGGATTTTTTTCTGGTGGTATGCAGCATTACACAGTACTGCCATCTTGATTCTGCATTTTTTTTCAGCGCTACTATAATAGATGCTTTCTGATGAATATTGGCCCCTGCGGCATATTTTGTGGAGTCCTGACACCCTTTTCTTTAAAAAAAAAATGCTTTGCCTGTACCTAATTTAAATGCAGATAAAATATGCCAGGCCTTAAAATTTGTGATATATATATATATATATATATTATTTGTCTGCATTACTGAAATTCACAATTCCCTCTATGGGTTTGGGGGAGGGGGAGGAGGGGCATTATGGGTAAAACAAGAATAGACCCACTGCCTCTCCCAACCATCATGTCGTAAGAATCAGAGTGCATCTGCCTGAGAACCAACGATCAAGCATACAAGTAAGTCAGATCAGTTAAACGGATGTCCACGCAGCACTCAGGTTCTGGAACAAGTCTAAAGTCTAGAAATCGGCGAACGCTAGAACTTTCCACTGGAGATTTCAGCCGGTGAAAGCAGAGGGCGACATTGCTGTGTCTTTAGTTATTAACATTTTCATACTATCCTTGAGTTTTTTTCATAGTGCTGTATCTGTGTTGTTTTGCCTCAAGAAGTCCAGGCCCATTGTTGTCTAAACTGTATTGCTAGAGACTTCTGCTCCAATATGGCAGATAGCTGGCCTACTACTGATGCTCTAAAAAGTTATTTGTTTCTAGCCAGGGTTTGCTGATGCAAATTCCTCATTTAAGGACCGAAAGTCCAAAGCTTTCATCGCCTAGCTTCTGAGTTGAGTGCTTGTGCAATACTGAGCTGTAGATTTAGTGTGGGATGTTTTTTCCTGTTGTTCCAGCGGCTGCTTTGTGTTGCAGACTGCACTGGAAATTGTGTGGGGCCGATGACATTCAATGTCCACTTCTGTATTTGACTGCTTGCATCAACAGTGAGCTTCTGGCACTGGACATCTGACCGTGTGTCTTGTGCATTTATTTTGCTTGTGCAAGCTTAAAATTTTGCCATTTTCAAGTGGGCCGGTGAAGGATATTTTGTGCGATTTCCGCTGGCACAGGAATGGAGCAGTTGTGGGGCAACCCATCTGCAGCGGCATTGAAACCTTCGACAATTTAGTTATCTAACTAATTATTGCTAGCTGATACGATTATCATGGTGGCTTGGAAAAAGACGATGATGGACGGTGCAGTTTGTGGTAGACAAGGCAGGGGTCGACCACAATGAAGATGGATACAAGACATTGAAGGTGCTTTGGCATTGAAAGCACATAGGGACGTAGAGCTGGCTAGAGAAATGGATACTTTCAGGTGCGCCGTAAAGAGAACTTTCTGATTGATAATGATGATGATACGATTAGTGCATGAAACAGTATATCTGCTAGTTGTTTTTCTGAGATCTCTTTATGAAACAGGTGCATGCATGGGTCGGGTATTTAGTGACTGTGCGTATAATCTTCTTCTTCTTCTTTGCGTTCACTGGCTGTAAACCCGAGCAGAAAGTTCTGGTTTTTCAACCACCTCTGGACTTTAGACTTGCTACAGAACCTGAATGTTGCATGTGCATCCATTTTACAGTTAGGACTTATTTATATGCAGACTGTTGGGTCCTGGTCTCTCAAGCAGCTGCACTCCGACTTCGAAGGAAACCCCTAATTAGTCGACTCTTATGACATGCTTGCTAGGGAGGCAATGGGTCTATTCTTGCTTCCACTACAATGGGACCCCAGAACCCATACAGGGAATTGTCTGTTATGACATATATTCAGTGGTAACAAATTATTATTTTTTTTTTAAAATTATAGTTTGATGATGATGATGACGGTGTCACACCCTGGGTGGACCGAAGCGCTAAGAAAAGCAAGGTAGAGCCGTTGGCAAATAAGACAGCCATTGATGTCACAGCAGAAGATATTCTTCCGAGACTCAATCCACAGAATGTCACAGATCTGGTTCTGCTGAGCATGGTAATTGAATGTTGTTTATTTCAGTTGTGACTATATGCTGAACATGATGATGAATACTTTTTAGCTTTCTCCTTGCAGGAAGGGAAGGGGAATGAGACAGAACGAGTGAAAGCAGTGAGGGGATGGAGGCAGGGAAAGAGAGATTAAAAATAGAGTTTGCTAGTTTCACTGAGAGACATGAAGCAGTTCAGCATGTCTTGCACTGTTTACTTCTAGAATCTGGTGAATGGTTGTTACTCCCCAAATCTGCCTCCCAGGTTGGGGGGGGGGGGGATTGGGGTTAAAAAGAATACTCCCTATTGAGGTGGTACTTTGGGGCAGAATCAGGAAGAGTCTCGCTCAGATAGGTACTTCTTCTTCTTCGCGTTCACCAGCTGTAAACTCTGGCGGAAAGTTCTGGTTGCTCGTCCACTACTGAACTGCAGTCCTGCTCCAGAACCTGAGTGTTGCGTGTGCATCAGTTTTACAGATCTCATTCTCTTGATAACAGACTGTTGGTTCCATGCCTCTCCGGCAGATGCACTCCGACTTCAAAGGAAGCTCCCCAATTAGTCGACTCTTACGACATGCTTTTGGGGAGGCAGTGGGACTATTCTTGTTTTCCCCACAATGCGGCCCCGTAACGCACATACTAAGTCTCACTCAGATAGGTACAGTCTCACTCCAATAGGTACCAGGTCTCACTCAAATAGGTACTAAGTCTTACTCAAATAGGAACTAAGTCTCACCCAGATAGGTACAGTCTTGCTCAAATAGGTACCGGACAACCTGAATATCAGTGATTGAACTTATATTAGAGCATTATTATCCAGAGCATTGTTAACCAACCCTAAGGACAATAAAAACATTGTTATAGATTTCATGTACATGTGATGTGACACTGTTTGTCCTCTGGTGATGCGCACTGGGAAACTGAGGCTGTGAGTTCTCAGGCAAACGGATCTGGCTCACCAGATGGGATGGGATTCACCTGGGAAAATTCTCCTGAAAATGCGACCGGCAAAGCAAGCCAGTGGATAAAAACTTGAAGACAAATCCGCCTGATCCTTACGGTAAATATGTCACCAGGAAACAGTTTGGGGAATGAACCAATACTGACCTACATCAAGAGAAAGCTGATCGATTGGTCTGGACAGTGTGAGACTGCCACAGGATAGTGTAGCAGAGAGAGCCCCTATCACTCATTGAACATTTAAAAGATCATCTTTATCGCACATCGGACATGAAGCTATTAGTTAGACATAATGGAAGCAGAGCTAGAGACTACCCATGCAAGTGATGGATAGATAGAATAGCTCAGACTAAAAATAACAGCATCTTTGTAGCACACACCAAGGCTTACACTGGACGCCTCTTCAAAATCTGACACAGAAAGGCAAAAGGGGAACTAGGGGAAAAAAGTTGAAGTGACACATTTTATGTTTTTTATTTGCAGGTGATGCTGCCTGATACTATGCCAGCCCAGTTTCAGTCGACGTACACCCCAATAGCTGCGGCTGGCACTCAGGCACAGATCAGCCATATTGCCCGACTGCTGTCCACACAGGTCACCATGGCTGGGATGGGCAAAGGGCTGGGAGAGCTACAGCTGCAGGTAAGCAACAAGATCCTGATTGTTTACTTACTGGTTTCCTTGTATGGGTTCCGGCGCTCCATTGTGTGCAGACAAAAAGAGTTGACCCACTGCCTCTCGTAACAAGCTTGTCATAAGAGTTAGCTTATTATGGGTTTTCTTTGGAGTCGATTAATAGGCAGTCAGTCAAAGATCTGCCTACAAATAAGCCAGATTTTTCAAACATATGTGCACGCACTGAAGTTCTGAAGCAAGACCAGAGTTGAAAATAGGATGAACAACCAGAACTTTCCACCACAGTTTACAGTCAGTGGACACAAAAAAGATTTACCAGTTGATGACTCAGTGCTGATTGTTTGTTTACCAGTCTCTGGAATGAATTCTGTCACTTCAAAGAATATTTGGTGGCATATGCCCAAAGGTCATGGTAGCCATAGTAAATATGAACATAAGTTATCATACATTTCTTGTTCTCTCATTAAGTGACATGGGGGGAGCAACAGTTTGTGATCCATTGCTCAGTGGGTAGCACTGGATATTGTTATTCCATGTCAGTGAGGAATGTCGTTAATATCATCAATCCATGTTTTTCATTGGGTGCCCTGTTGTTTATGAATATAGTGTGAAAGTATTGCTGTCACTGACGCAGCAAGAGATCTGCTGCATGGCATGTCAAAATAACTGGCCAGGTTTGTTTAGTGCGCACATGCCACATTGTACGATGCTTGGGACACAAGGAAATTGCTGATTGCTTATGATGCAATACTAGGAATGGTTAGTTAACTCTGTAATATACTCTACGTTTAAATTGGCTAACAATTCCGTCCATATTGACAAAACTCAGCTTAGAGGGGGACTCCCATAGTTGAGATTTGGCAAGCCCACATGAAGATTGCTTGGGTGCTTGTTGCTTGCACTGCTGCTTGCACTGCTGCTTGCACTGTTGCTTGCACTGTTGCTTGCACTGCTGCTTGCACTGCTGCTTGCACTGCTGCTTGCCTGCTGCTTGCCTGCTGCTTGCTCTGCTGCTTGCACTGCTGCTTGCACTGCTGCTTGCACTGCTGCTTGCCTGTTGCTTGCACTGCTGCTTGCCTGCTGCTCTGGTGTTTGTGTGTCTGAATCCTTTTTCAGACATGGTTATTTTCATTGACCTAGATAGCCCAGGTTGATCTAGCTTAAAACTGCCCTTTGGAAATTTTGTAGCAATTAAAAGTGGCCAGTATGATATTGACCACATCATCTGTTGCCAGTTGGTCTTTAAATATGAGATTGGGACAAATTATCCACCATGTAAAGGACAGTTACTTGGTTATTGTACTTCACTTAATTATTTTATTGCAGGGTTTCTGTAACTGATGTCTGGTTATTTGTGTGTTTGTTTCATCTAGCCTTAGACTGACCTTTTTGGGTGTACTTTGGTACAAAATTTTAACTGTTGTTCAGTTTAGGGTGCTTGCCCGCATGTTCACATTGCTGGAGAACCTATCTTTAGTTTGAAGTCTGTTGAGTCTTGTTCAGAGTGTAAAGATAATAACTTGTCCAGGCCTGACCAGTAGACAGTAGTCATTTGATGGTTGGGCAGGTGGACTTTTTGAGTCTGTTAGATTAAAAACAAAAATTTGTTTATGATATTATGTAACTTGAATATCTGATTGTTGTGTTTCAGCTTCTCCTTTGGTCAGCATGTCAGCTGCCTTATTTTCTAGTATATTTAATTGGGATGAATTTCCCTGCATTGTTGACAAACTTCAGATAGTGGTGGATCTTGTACTTTTTTCTGCTAGTTTGTTGTTTTGTTCATGGTAAATATTTTTTCAAGTAAACACCACATTGTTTTACTGTTTGAAAGAAACCCGGGCTTATATTTTTTCCCAGGCAATGAAAGCAGAGATGGAACAGGGTGTCCCCGAGGAGCCGACATCTCCTAAACAGGTGATCCAGACAGTTGTAGGTAAGCAGCTATATATCTTCATGTCTCTCAGTGGTTTGGTTGTTCTTGTTGAATGATCGAAGGGCAGTAGCTAGTGTGTGTTTGTGAGGTTATGGTTTAGGAGTATCATGAAAGCTGTTTGCTCCTACATAAATAGTGAAAGCATCATATACCCAGTACATGTTAAGATGGCAGATACTTGAAACTATTGTGCCTCTTCCTTGTATGGCTGAGTAGGTGGCTTTTTTGTATTTGTATAGTGTGCAACTGATTAAATTTTGCTGAATCATTAAAAAAAAAAAAACCCCAAAAATATACAAGAAAAAATCTAGGAGGGAAAAAAATAATAACCACCAACCCCCCCCCCCCCCCCTCCCTCCCCAGGTTTCATATTCAGATAACTTTTAATATTCTGTAAACCCAGAATGTTAACCCAGTCAACAAATGCTTGATAAAATCAGATCTTTTGGCAGAAAGGTGCAGATTTAACAAGTTTTGCTGTAAACAGGCACAACACAATTACATCACTCAGATAAACAAAAAGAAGATATTCTGTAATATTCTGCCTTGAGGGGTTTACAAACTTGTGGATGTGGGTGGCTTCATTAAACTTTTAATCTGATTTATTATTGGCTTATCTTTTGTATTATTATCTTTGATATTGCCATGTTTCAGGTATCAAATACGATGAAGAAGACATTGTGCCGACACGGCTGAAAATCTCACAACTTCCGGTATGTTTTCACCAGTTCTCTCTTCCTCTGCTTAAAAATGTTTGACTGTTCTGTTGATCATTTCTAGTGGAGTGCGAGTATTGACACGAGGATGAGTGTGAATATTGACACGAGGATGAGTGTGAATATTGACACGAGGATGAGTGCGAGTATTGACACGAGAATGAGTGTGAATATTGACATGAGGATGAGTGCGAGTATTGACACGAGCATGGGTGAGAGTATTGACATGAGGATGAGTGAGAGTATTGACGCAAGGATGAGTGTGAGTATTGACATGAGGATGAGTGCAGATATTGACATGAGGATGAGTGCGAGTATTGACATGAGGATGAGCGTGAATATTGACACGAGGATGAGTGCGAGTATTGACATGAGGATGAGTGCGAGTATTGACATGAGGATGAGTGCCAGTATTGACATGAGGATGAGTGCCAGTATTGACATGAGGATGAGTGCGAGTATTGACATGAGGATGAGTGCGAATATTGACATGAGGATGAGTGCAGATATTGACATGAGGATGAGTGCGAGTATTGACATGAGGATGAGTGCAGATATTGACATGAGGATGAGTGCAGATATTGACATGAGGATGAGTGCAGATATTGACATGAGGATGAGTGGAAATATTGATATGAGAATGAGTGCCAGTATTGACATGAGGATGAGTGCGAGTATTGACATGAGGATGAGTGAGTGCCATGAGGATGAGTGACATGAGAGATGAGTGCCAGTATTGACATGAGGATGAGTGCGAGTATTGACATGAGGATGAGTGCGAGTATTGACATGAGGATGAGTGCGAGTATTGACATGAGGATGAGTGCCAGTATTGACATGAGGATGAGTGCGAGTATTGACATGAGGATGAGTGCGAGTATTGACATGAGGATGAATGCAGATATTGACATGAGGATGAGTGCGAGTATTGACATGAGGATGAATGCAGATATTGACATGAGGATGAATGCAGATATTGACATGAGGATGAGTGCGAGTATTGACATGAGGATGAATGCAGATATTGACATGAGGATGAGTGCAGATATTGACATGAGGATGAGTGCGAGTATTGACATGAGGATGAGTGTCAGTATTGACACGAGCATGGGTGAGAGTATTGACATGAGGATGAGTGCAGATATTGACATGAGGATGAGTGCAAATATTGACATGAGGATGAGTGCCAGTATTGACATGAGGATGAGTGCAAATATTGACATGAGGATGAGTGCAGATTTTGACATGAGGATGAGTGCAGATATTGACATGAGGATGAGTGCAGATATTGACATGAGGATGAGTGCAGATATTGACATGAGGATGAGTGCAGATATTGACATGAGGATGAGTGCAGATATTGACATGAGGATGAGTGCGAGTATTGACATGAGGATGAGTGCGAATATTGACATGAGGATGAGTGAGAGTATTGACATGAGGATGAGTGCCAGTATTGACATGAGGATGAGTGCCAGTATTGACACGAGGATGAGTGCGAGTATTGACATGAGGATGAGTGCGAGTATTGACATGAGGATGAGTGAGAGTATTGACATGAGGATGAGTGCCAGTATTGACATGAGTATGAGTGCCAGTATTGACATGAGGATGAGTGCGAATATTGACATGAGGATGAGTGCGAGTATTGACACAAAGATGAGTGTGAGTATTGACGCGGGGATGAGTGCGAATATTGACATGAGGATTAGTGTGAGTATGAATATGAGGATGAGTGAGAGTATTGACATGAGGATGAGTGCCAGTATTGACATGAGGATGAGTGCCAGTATTGACATGAGGATGAGTGCCAGTATTGACATGAGGATGAGTGCGAATATTGACATTCTTCCCAGGTTATTGCTTTTTTACAGTTTTAGGTTGTTCTCATTAGTGTTTTTTTTCTCTTTGTAGCTTCCACCATCAGTGAAGAAAATTAAACAGTTTCAGTTGCCAGCAATAACAGGTAAACTGAGTGTTGCCATGTTGGAGATGCTGAAAGATCAGACAGTGGACCGTATCCTACAGGCAGAAAGTGAGCCACTCATTAACTTTTGTGTGTGTATTAGCATGTATTTTATGGTTGAACTTTGTTTTGCCCTTAGAATAAATGTTTACTCAGTTCACGTATTTTCTGAACAAACATTAATTCACACCTAATTTCCCCATGTGGGTTCTAGGGCCCAGTTTGCAGAAATATGAATAGACCCCCGTGCCCCGTAACGAGCGTAAAAGTTGACTAATTAGGAGTGTTTCCTTCGAGGTCGGAATGCATCTGTTCGAGAGGTGAAGAACCACCAACAGTCTGCATACAAAAAAACCCTATCTGTCAAATGGATGTCTATGCAGAACTCAAGTTCTGTAGCAAGACTCAAGTCCAGAAGTGGATGAACAACCAGCATTTTCTACTGGAAGTTTACAGCTGGTGAATGCTAAGAAGAAGATTATGGTTCAAGATCCACATCTGAGGAGACTCATTTAGTTTTCTAGTTGCCTGATCATTGTCCAGGTTTCTGCACCATACAGCAGGGGTATAAGTAGCATTGACATTTTTAGGGCACCTTATCTTTCCAGCTGTACATAATTTTCTCATATTGTTGGACAACTGACCTATCCTTTAAGTTTTCCTCTTGTTGACATGTTGAGATCAGCTGAGGTAAACAGACATTATGGGTTGTCTTAAGTGTACTGCCATCATTTCCACCTGTCAGTCGAATTATCAGATCCTTTCAAAGCATGCCTTTATGTCTGTGCAGAAGCTGCCGCAGTCGGCCACGTGGAACATCATCGGGGGAAACTCTTGGCAACCCTCGCTACCTTATTCGGACAATCCACCAAATTGGGTAAGCAGCTGTCATTAACTCTACTTTTTCAGGTACCTAAGAGAAAAAGTAACCATGATGAATAGTATGAGTGCATTACTTTCAGATGGGCTAAACATGCAGTATAGTGATCACTGGAGAAGTTTCTCCTACTCCTCCTACTGTGGGTTCCGGGGTCTTATTGTGGGGGAAAACAAAAATAGACCCACTGCCTCCCCAATAAACATGTTGTAAGAGTTGACTAATTGGGAGCTTCCTTCGAAGTCGGAGTGCGTCTGCCTGAGAGGAAGGACCCAACAGTCATCATCAATCAGCAAGTTCTTCACAGAACGTCGCTCTCTGCTCACAGCAGGCCCGAAAGTATCCTTAGCTCTATGTGCTTTCAATGCAAGTGCCTCTTCAATGTCCTGTATCCATCTTCGCGGTGGTCGACTCCTGCCTCACCTTCACAAACTGCACCCTCCATCACCGTCTTTTTTTTTTTGAAGCCACCACGACGTTTGATGTGGCCAAAATACTTCAACTTTTGGAACAGGATGCTGTTTATGAGCCAGTTCTCCCTGATGTTTAATTCATGTAGAAAGTCAATGTTTTTCTTCTTCTTGATTCATTGTATTCTGAGACATTTTCTGTAACATTTAAATTCAAAAGGTCCAGTCTTTTTCTTTATTGATCAACAGTCAACATACAAATAGGCAAGATCTGTAAAACATTTATGAATGCAAAATTACAAAGTCTGCTCACAAGATCTGAAAATGTATGTGAACGCAAAATTCAAATCCTGGAACAAGAGCAGTCCAGAAGTGGACGAATAACCACACGCACACACAAATGCACATGCACGCACGCCTGCACATGCACACACACACAGACACGAGTAATTGTTAAAATGTTTATGTAAACAGCTGTGAGACTCTGTATTCAGATGAAGTCATGCTACTACTCATCAGAAACTATTGATCTTTTAGGTTTCAAGGAATACATCTTTAACGATTTACGCAGTCGTCAGGAACTGGCATTTTCCTGGCTCTACCAGGAGTTTGCATTCTGTCAAGGCTACAGCGCCAACCACTCAAATGCTCACAAGCCGGCTGGACTGGAGAGCTACGATGCCTGTTTGAGCGGCCTACTGACCAGTCTCTTGGAGGCAGATGACCATCATGGGGACAGGTAACAGCTGCTGAAGCCTAGCAGTGCATTTGTTACTGTCCATTGAGCTCTTCAGCTGGTGGCCCATGGGCCTAATCTGGCCTGCAGAGGCCTAGCAAGTGGTACCTGCCAATTGAATTGCATTATCCCTGTGTGGGTTCCGGGGCCCCATTATGGGGATAACAATAATAGACTCACTGCCTCCCCAGCAAGCATGTCATAAGAGTTGACTAACTGGGAGCTTCCTTCGAAGTCACAGTGACTCAGCCTGAGAGACAAGGAACCAACAATCTGCATACATATAAGCAAGGTTTGGAAAATAGATGTGCACGCAACACTCAGGTTCTGGAATCTGACTAAGTCCAGAGGTGGGCGAAGAACCAGAACTTTCCGCCGGTGAATGCGAAGAAGAAGAATTGCATTAATGATCCTCCTTGGCTGGGGCTCAGGTCTCTAGGCCCCGTGACTATCACCATTTTCAAAATGTTTGCACCTGAGTAAACTTAGCTGAATGGCCGTGTGTTATTTTATCACATTCGATGTCATTGCACATTGGGCATTCCCGCGAATGCTAACCTGGCATCAAATGCCTGCAGAAATTAGATGTATCGGACAGAACGTGCAAATATAGTAGCAGCCATTTTGTAAGAGGGCACAGCACATTTATTCGGATGAACACAGAAAAAGAATATTTGTGTAAACATGTGTGCTTCATGCAGTAACATAAAGATATAGATAAATGTGCTTCATGCAGTAAAATAAAGATATAGATAAATGTGCTTCATGCAGTAACATAAAGATATAGATAAATGTGCTTCATGCAGTAACATAAAGATATAGATAAATGTGCTTCATGCAGTAACATAAAGATATAGATAAATGTGCTTCATGCAGTAACATAAAGATATAGATAAATGGGCTTCATGCAGTAACATAAAGATATAGATACATGTGCTTCATGCAGTAACATAAAGATATAGATAAATGTGCTTCATGCAGTAACATAAAGATATAGATAAATGTGCTTCATGCAGTAACATAAAGATATAGATAAATGTGCTTCATGCAGTAACATAAAGATATAGATAAATGTGCTTCATGCAGTAACATAAAGATATAGATAAATGTGCTTCATGCAGTAACATAAAGATATAGATAAATGTGCTTCATGCAGTAACATAAAGATATAGATAAATGTGCTTCATGCAGTAACATAAAGATATAGATAAAATGTGCTTCATGCAGTAACATAAAGATATAGATAAATGTGCTTCATGCAGTAACATAAAGATATAGATAAATGTGCTTCATGCAGTAACATATAAGATATAGATAAATGTGCTTCATGCAGTTACATAAAGATATAGATAAATGTGCTTCATGCAGTAACATAAAGATATAGATAAATGTGCTTCATGCAGTAACATAAAGATATAGATAAATGTGCTTCATGCAGTAACATAAAGATATAGATAAATGTGCTTCATGCAGTAACATAAAGATATAGATAGATGTGCTTCATGCAGTAACATAAAGATATAGATAAATGTGCTTCATGCAGTAACATAAAGATATAGATAAATGTGCTTCATGCAGTAACATAAAGATATAGATAAATGTGCTTCATGCAGTAACATAAAGATATAGATAAATGTGCTTCATGCAGTAACATAAAGATATAGATAAATGTGCTTCATGCAGTAACATAAAGATATAGATAAATGTGCTTCATGCAGTAACACAAAGATATAGATAAATGTGCTTCATGCAGTAACATAAAGATATAGATAAATATGCTTCATGCAGTAACATAAAGATATAGATAAATGTGCTTGATGCAGCATGGGAACAATGATGTAGATAAATGTGCTTTTTTTGCAGTAACATACAAATTGTATAGATAAATCTATTTTCTTGAGTAACCAATGTGACAGTTGTATGTAAAAATTTACTCGCTTTAGTAACAAAAAATATTGTAAATAAATGTACCCGCTGCAGTAATGTGAAAAACCTTGTACTTGATGACCCTGTTTTGCTCTCTCCATGGTAGCCTGTTTCACCGTCTAATGCTGGAGGCACCAGCTCTGACTGACAGCGCCCTAGCTATCATGCATCGCTACTGCTTTACCACTGTAAGTATGTGTACATAGACCTGCTTGAATGTGTTGTTATATAAGCTTGTGTTGATGTTAATATATTGCTGTTTAGTTCGATCATCATCCCGTGACACTTGAGTGTGGTTGAGTCACCAGTTGCTGTTGACTGACTGTTCAGATCCCTCCACCTTTGACTGCCAGATGCGATAGTCATTTGTGATGTGGTTTCTGTAAGTTGAATTTTTTCTGAAAGATCTTATTTCCAGTGCTTGTATCTTTTTATGTTCAACTGTTAAGGTCCATGTTTCACAGCCATGTGTAAAAGTACTAGCTACTAAGTTAGTCGACAAACTTAACAATATGGAAAGGCTTTTATCTGAGTAGTCACTACTATACCCATATGGGCTGTGGGTGCAAACTGCACAAAAATGTCGGTAAATGTAGGCTGTTACGTTTGGTCATCTCGCACAATCACCAGAATCACGGATCAGTTGAGTGTGTTTTTGTCTCGCCCCCATCCAGTTGGTCAGGCTATCCGGGTATTCATCTCTTTGCTTTCCTCCGGCTCTCTTTCCATCAGTATTGCCAGCTGTTACCAAATGTTTGAGTCAATTTTTTTTCCCCTCATAGCATGTCCAGAAACATTGACTGTATATGTCTAGTTGTTCTAATAAATTTATGACTTTCATCCTTCTCAATGAGGACTGCTCCGTTTGTTTTTCTATCCTTCCATGATATTCTTTGCATTTTTTTCAGAAACTCGCAGCAGAGATGAAGTTTCTGAAAAAAAATGCAGATCAGGAGCTGACATGGATGTCTGTTTTATTCTTCACTTGCTAAACCCCCCCCCCCCCCCCCCCCCCATTTCCTCTTTCTGCCATGAATGTGTGTTAAGAGTATTGATGATAAAGTTCTTCAGTAGTGGGAGACAGAGCACATTTAGTTTTTTCTAAATGATATTATACACATTCGCACAATCAACAATCAGTAGTTAAATATTGGTTTAAAGGAGTTGAGTTCAGTTAAGAACCTTATTATTTTTCAAGGAAAGTTACCTAAAATGATACTGACTGCATCAGCCATCACGTGGCACCTAGCATCACATTTTCCATATGTCACGCTAGTGTTGAAAGGGCCACCATTAAAAAAAAAAGTATTTTAGATTCAGCTAATTCTTTTCACAGTGTGGGTGGGTGCCAGTTTGAAGAACAGAGAATAGGACCCCCCTCCCTCTTCTTTCTCCCCCCTCCCCCAGCACTCAGCAAGCATGCCATTGGAGGCCATTCATTACTGGTTTTTTTCTTTAAAGTCAGAGTGCATCTGCCTGAGAGGCAAGGAACCAACAGTCTGCATTTAGATAGCCAGATCTGCAAAATAAGCATGCACACAAAACTCAAAAGTTCTGGAACACGAGCAAAGTGTTCTGTTTCTTGTTGATAAGATAAAGAACAACAGGCAAGCATGTAGATGATTGTATACATATATTGCATGATGCAAATGTTTTGATGTTTACAGCATGCACATATCTTCTGAAAAGAAAGGTGTTTGGGACACTGTGGTTTACAGCTAGGCTGCAGTACCTATTTAAGCAAGTCCCTGACTGGTCACTTTTTTCATGACATGCAGATTAGAGAGCAGTGAGTCTATTCTTCCGTGAAATGACAGTAGTATCGTGTGCTTAACACTCTTGACAACCCAACCTTAACAGAATTGACAGTTTTCACGACAATGACATAGTTTTCTATCACACTTTTGTGGTTTTAATTTGAAAGCCCCTCGTTATTGGCAATGCTGCTATTTGTTTTTATTTGAAAGCCCCTCATAGTTGGCAATGCTGCTATTGGTTTTTATTTGAAAGCCCCTTGTAGTTGGCAATGCTGCTATTGGTTTTTATTTGAAAGCCCCTCATAGTTGGCAATGCTGCTATTGGTTTTTATTTGAAAGCCCCTTGTAGTTGGCAATGCTGCTATTGGTTTTCATTTGAAAGCCACTCGTAGTTGGCAATGCTGCTATTGGTTTTCATTTGAAAGCCACTCGTAGTTGGCAATGCTGCTATTGGTTTTCATTTGAAAGCCACTCGTAGTTGGCAATGCTGCTATTGGTTTTTATTTGAAAGCCACTCGTAGTTGGCAATGCTGCTATTGGTTTTTATTTGAAAGCCCCTTGTAGTTGGCAATGCTGCTATTGGTTTTTATTTGAAAGCCCCTCGTAGTTGGCAATGCTGCTATTGGTTTTTATTTGAAAGCCCCTTGTAGTTGGCAATGCTGCTATTGGTTTTTATTTGAAAGCCCCTTGTAGTTGGCAATGCTGCTATTGGTTTTTATTTCATACCAAATCAACAGAAGCACACGGAGGCAGGCATGAAGACACTGATACAGCTAATCAACAATCGTCCAGCATGCAGACCAAAGATACTAGAGCTGCTCTTAGAATTCACAAGCTTTGACAAGTCAGAGGTAGTATTATTTCAATCCTGTGCTGTCAAACCATTTGTTGTCAACATTACACTGCAGACTGTGTTTTCATTGTTCCTGTTTTCATAACTGAATGACAGTGTCAGAAAGATATTCTGGCCTGATGGACGATTGACTTGTTCCTTTTACAAATAGCTACAAGGTCTGCTGACAAATTGTATTGCTAAAACAAAATGGACCATGAACCTGTGGGAATTTCCGGGAAAAATATATAAATTAACCCTCTCCCAACCTATCCTACCACAAATATATAAAGAAGATAATAATCAGTATAAACAACGATTGTGCATTCAGTGAAATACATTTCAGGGGACTAAAAAAAAGTATGCTTTGGGTGACCCCTGCCATGACCTCTTGTTGAGGTTAAAGAACATTTATGTCAGCTTTGCTTTAGAAAAGCTGTTTGACTAACAAGGAAAACACACCCACACACACACACCCACGCCACACACCACAAACAACACCCCCCCCCCCCCCAATGCTATGTTATGTTAATATATGTTCATCCTGACATGCATGAAGACAGCCAATGGCATTAACCTGTTATCTCCTAAACACATCGTCGCTCTAGAAAGGTCAGTTCAGTGGCTTTCTCTGCAAATTGGATCTGACTGGAAGTGTCAATTTGGTGTCTTTCCGGAGGGCAGGGTTAACATATTGTGTTTGTCTTTGTTTTGTTTTTTATTTTTGGAGGAGTCAGTTTGAGTTGTAGTAGCAGTGTGTAGCATCAGCAGATTCTATCAGTAATGCAGAGATAAGGTCTGGTATACTGAGGAGTGTAGTCAGTTTGAGTTGTGGTAGCATCAGCAGATTCTATCAGTAATGCAGAGATAAGGTCTGGTATACTGAGGAGTGTAGTCAGTTTGAGTTGTGGTAGCATCAGCAGATTCTATCAGTAATGCAGAGATAAGGTCTGGTATACTGAGGAGTGTAGTCAGTTTGAGTTGTGGTAGCATCAGCAGATTCTATCAGTAATGCAGAGATAAGGTCTGGTATACTGAGGAGTGTAGTCAGTTTGAGTTGTGGTAGCATCAGCAGATTCTATCAGTAATGCAGAGATAAGGTCTGGTATACTGAGGAGTGTAGTCAGTTTGAGTTGTGGTAGCATCAGCAGATTCTATCAGTAATGCAGAGATAAGGTCTGGTATACTGAGGAGTGTAGTCAGTTTGAGTTGTGGTAGCATCAGCAGATTCTATCAGTAATGCAGAGATAAGGTCTGGTATACTGAGGAGTGTAGTCAGTTTGAGTTGTGGTAGCAGTGTGTAGCATCAGCAGATTCTATCAGTAATGCAGAGATAAGGTCTGGTATACTGAGGAGTGTAGTCAGTTTGAGTTGTGGTAGCATCAGCAGATTCTATCAGTAATGCAGAGATAAGGTCTGGTATACTGAGGAGTGTAGTCATATTTCCTGACTGAATAATGGATAAGATTTGATGTGAAAGGAAATGTAGACAGATTCATATTTTTATTTAGAGATAAGATGTGATGTAATGAGAAATATAGAAGGATTCCTTTGTTGAATCAGAGGTAAGATTTGATTAAATTGGGAATATACACATATTCCCCTATTTATTGAGAGATAAAGATTATATATAGTGGGAAAAAAAAACCTACAGATTACGATATTGATTCCGTGATAAAGTGTGATATATTGGGGAATATAGGATGACTCCTTTGTTGTTAAAAGGTTAAGATTTAATTAAATGGGGAATATAGACACACTCCCTTATCGATTAAGAGATAAAATATTTGATTCAGAGATACAGTTTAATATAGGGGAAAATACATAGATTCCTTTTTTAATTCAGAGATAAGTTTAATATAGGGAAAAATACAAATATAGATTCCTTTGTTTATTCAGAGATTCAGTTTAATATAGGGGAAAATACATAGACAGATTCCTTTGTTAATTCAGAGATACAGTTTAATTATAGGGGAAAATACATAGATTCCTTTGCTAATTCAGAGATACAGTTTAATATAGGGGAAAATACATCAATTCCTTTGTTAATTCAGAGATACAGTTTTATATAGGTTAAAATAAATCGATTCCTTTGTTGATGCAGAGGTACAAGTTTATGTATGCGGTTGTTACACATCCAAGCTCATTTATATATAACACATGTTGATTGTCCAGATTCGCAATGTTGCCATCAAGTCAGCTCAGAGCCTGCACGCCAGTGGCAGGATGCAGGCTGAGATTGAAAGGTATGCCAACATGCAGCTGAAGAAGCTGCTGCTGCCAAAGCCACCACCGGTCCCTGGAAAGCAAGAAGGTTTGTGAACGTGATGTACAACCTTAGACCAAGAGAATTTTTTATAATTGATATTCAGAGTCTGCAAGTATACTGCTAGTAACAGTTTTCATATGCTAGGAAACAGCTTCTTGTCTCGGAAGCTGAAATATTGTGGCCTTATCAAGTGCCATGATGGGTTGGGGAAAAAAAATAATAGCAGAAGGTGTGGAACAAATAAACACGGGCATGGCCGACGAGGCATGAAGATGGGCACAGGATATAAATGACACCTTGGGTAGGAAACTGCAAGGCGGGATAGCTTGCAAGAGACTGAGTGTCTTTCAGGCAGACCGTAATGAGAGCTTGATAATATCTGCTATTTGTGGTCTGATGCTGGACAAGACACAGAAATCACTCTCCATATCAAGCTGGCAACTCTTGTTTTCATGACTGTAAAAGCTGATAATCAGGATTATTACAAGTAAAATGAACTCAGCTTCAAATTGCTTGATGCTCCCCTTAAATCTTTCTCATGCCCTCCAGTCTGCGACCACTACTATAGCACAATATAACACAGTTATCTAGAAGGACATAAAGGTGCCCACAGTAAACCTGGAAGGCTAACCGTGTCAAGAAATGCCTCAAGAAATCAGATCTTTATAGCAAATATTGTACCCCAGCAGTAAGCAGTTAAGTTAGTTGTGTATCCTTTACATGACATTGCAGAACCAACTCTAGCATTGTTTAGCTGTGTGTGATTTAACTAGCTAGTTTTACTTGCATAGTTTGCCATTGCTTACTGAACGGTCAGCTCTCGATATCACTGGTCAAGTCAAAGCCCTCTGCTGCCGAAATTGCCTACAGCTGGGATTGAACCCCCGTACTGCGGAATTATGAAGCGCTGACATAAGCAGTAAGCAGGCAGAATTCAGTTATACCAGAAAGTATTGAAAGAGCAGAAAAAGAAGAATATTATGTATGCAGAAAGACTTACGACGGTACGTTTGTACAATGAAAGTTATCTTTTACAAACCATATAACCTTAGGTGATGATGATCACAATATCTTTTTTTAGGCATAAGTTTCATTGTATCTTTTTATTTTCCCTATATTTGTTTAGCACCAGAAACCTGGACAGAAGACATGATTAAGGCTCATCTGTACCTTCATCTGGGGCTCTTGCCTTCTAATCACAAACTTATCCATGAGTAAGTAATCACCTGTGTACTTTGTTGTTTGGGAGGTTAAAGCAAAACTCTGTTATAAGTGTTGTTTGGGAGGTTAAAGCAAAACTCTGTTATAAGTGTTGTTTGGGAGGTTAAAGCAAAACTCTGTTATAAGTGTTGTTTGGGAGGTTAAAGCAAAACTCTGTTATAAGTGTTGTTTGGGAGGTTAAAGCAAAACTCTGTTATAAGTGTTGTTTGGGAGGTTAAAGAAAAACTCTGTTATAAGTGTTGTTTGGGAGGTTAAAGCAAAACTCTGTTATAAGTGTTGTTTGGGAGGTTAAAGAAAAAACTCTGTTATAAGTGTTGTTTGGGAGGTTAAAGCAAAACTCTGTTATAAGTGTTGTTTGGGAGGTTAAAGCAAAACTCTGTTATAAGTGTTGTTTGGGAGGTTAAAGCAAAACTCTGTTATAAGTGTTGTTTGGGAGGTTAAAGCAAAACTCTGTTATAAGTGTTGTTTGGGAAGTATGAAACTCTTTAAGAGTTGTTTGAGAGGTAAACAACTCTGTTAAATGTTTAGAAGGTAAAAAAATCTATAAGTGTTGTTTGAGAATAGGAAAACAGTAAATTGTGTTTGATTAGTAAAAACCTTTTGTGTGTGTGTGTGTTTAGGAAGTAGAAAACTCAGTCTTACTTGATAAACTTTGTTATTGTTTGGGAATTTATTATTTTGTTTGTGGTAGAAAATTTGTTTTTAAAGTTGAAAACTAAGTGCTGTTTGAGAAGATATTTGATAAATAATAAATTTTGTTTGTGTAGTAGATCACCAATTGTGGAAGTAAAAAACTCAGCAGATCTGGTTTTTTGGGAGGTATAAAACAGCAAATATTGTTTGATAAGTAGAACATTTTTAATAGAAAACACTTTGGGGGAAAAGGGGGGGGGGGGGGGTGTCTCTGTAGGTGTTGTTTAGGAAGTAGAAAACTCAGTCTTACTTGATAAACTTTGTTATTGTTTGGGAATTTATTATTTTCATTGTTATTATGCACTGAGGACACTTACTGTGTGGTGTTTTGCAGGTTAGCTAACGTCTACACAGCCACCACAGCTGATATAAAGCGTACGATCCTTAGAGTGCTAGAAGTGCCAGTAAGTACCTTTTTCTGCAGCGTTCACTTTTAAAAGGGCATTTTGCACATTGGGTTGTGGTTTTACAGCTGGGCTTTGATATCTGTGCCTTTTGGCCCAACACATGTGATTTCATCAGACTCCTGATAGGTCTAATTTTCAACAGGCTTGTTAAGGGGATAATGGTCCTCACTCCCTCCCCGAAATGAAGCCCTAGAACCCATACAAAGGGTGAGTATCAGCTTGTTAATATGAGTTAGGTTATCTTCGGGGCACATCAGGCATGTCCATAGGTGCTCAGATTTCCCCCTTCTTCTTCTTCGATCCTTTTGTCAGAAAACTTATATTAGGAGGCCGATAGCCTTTATGAAAGCTATCATGCAGTTCATATCCTCTCTTGTACCACACAGCTTTGTCTTCATTGTGGTTGGAACAGGCCAGATTGCGTCTCAGTTGTCAGCATACAGTTGCTGCAGGGACATGTCTCTGTGTTTTCTACCCCGAAAAATTTGAACATATGTTGACGAAGTCTATTGTGCCTAGTCCTTAGTCTGAATATAATACACTGTCCCTCTTTAGAGAGGCGAGGAAGCAAGTCTTTCGTATACATCAAAGTCCTGTGGTTAATAGTGCCAGACCTATGCTGGCTACCAAGACTCCTTGTACGTCTGGTATGCCGCTTGGCTGTGCCGAACTTTATTCTTAGCAGTGATGTGGAGGCATAGTTCCCAAAATCCTCCAGTCATCCAACCTCTCAGCATGACCCATAGACTGGTGATCTGCAGCTAAGGCAGCACCAGCCAATCCTCCAGCTCTTTCATTGCAAGCAGCACCTGCATGACCTGAAACAAGGATGAAGTTAACTTCACATACTGGAGTTTCCCAATGAATCAATCTACTGTCTGCGTGCACAGCCAAAGACTTCCTTCTCCAGAATACCTACATTGTAAGTATGCCTGCACCAGTCGTGAGCATGTGCGATATGATATAAACATAGAGAGAACGAAGGCATTGAGGTACCTTGGCATGACTTTCAAGTGAAGCTTGTCATACAAGCATCACGTTGTCAGAAGGTTTTATGGGCCTCACTTTTAGCAGAACCTAGCTAGAAAGATTGTGGATCAGGTGCAAAATGAGGCCATGAGATTCATATTTGGCTGCACAAAAGAGACCTCTTACCATGCCATGAGGTATGTCCAGTGTTTACCGACGATGGCCACCAGACATAAAGTGGCACAGGTGAAGGTGTAGATGAGAATATCAGCAGACATCAGCCACCCACTGCACAACGCCTTCAGTGATATAAAAGGGATGCGTCTCAAAAAAGGCTCCCTCTGGATGGGACTCCTGGATGCGCAAGGCATAAAATCTAATCTAGCAAGAATATGACCTGGATGAGATCAGTCACGGAAAAGAATGGATGGATTCACCGGTAGACATGCGTGACTAATCCAGAGTTGTCATAACACTAGGGTGGTACTGCCTCAGATACTTCAGATACTTGCCACTGTTGATGCGAAGATTATTTGTCATTGGGGATTATTTGTCGTTGGGGATTATTTGTCGTTGGAGATTGTCATTGGGGATTATTTATCACTGTAAGTAAAGTAAAGATCCCTTTTCACGCCTTTTGGCGCATCGGGCATATGGGCAGAGCGTCCCATATTTTTACAGACCGTCAGCACTCTGTGTAGACTGTCATTGTAGACTATTTGTCATTGTGGATTATTTGTCAGTGTGGCTTGCTGTCTGTCACCAGGTGAAAGGAATGGGTATGGATTCCCCCGAGTTGCTGACCCTGGTGGAAAACTGCCCCAAGGGATCTGAGACTTTAGTGATGAGGGTCATCCATATTCTGACAGACAGAGGTGAGGATTTCATTGCATTAATTTCAGCAGCAGCAGCAACTTAATAATCAACATCATCATCACATTGTCATCACCAGAGTTATCACCATCGTCGTCAGCGTCACATCCTGTCACCATTGTAAATATTACCATTTCAATTTCATTAGTGTTTTAGTGGGTGTCCTGACATTGTATTCATCAATTTGCCATCAGTGGCAACATAATCACAACCTACCATTACAAATCTATCAATACAGTTAAAGTAAAGGACCATTCTCCACGCTTTTAGGCATATTGGGCAAATAGTGCTAGACCTGTATTTTTTAGACCTATAGGTACTCGGTGGATGATATGGTCAGCATTGTGTGCCGGCCGCATCTACTTCCCAGGATTTTACCTGGTACCTGTTTAAGGCTGGGTCAACCTGGAAGCCAAGGTCATGCTTGAACAAATCCAGCACCATGATCACTTGAACCCAGGACCTTCCGATCCGCAGGCAAGCATCTAGCCAGCATGATGGCAGCCCTATGAATACAGTAGTCAGTCATTTGTTCTTCCCTTGATGTTGTAAATGAACCCCAAGAGGGACAGTTACCACAGTGAAAGAAGCATGTCTATGTTACCACAGTGAAAGAAGCATGTCTATGTTACCACAGTGAAAGAAGCATGTCTGTGTTACCGTCGAAGAGGTAGCATATGTACATATTGTATAAACACATAATCTGTTGCATTAAAAAAAAATGGCTGCATTTCTGTAACATGCTCAAACCAGATGCGTTGTTTGGTATGTATGGGCAATAGCTGATCACACTGTAACTGACAGTTTTAGGCACTAATTGCAGAAAAAACTTGATTTTCTGTTATACAAGAAAAAAGTGTCATTGTAAAATTGTTTCGATAATGAGTTCTAGCATATTGGGTCTTAGAATTCTGCTTGAAGAATATGTCACTTATTTATATGACGTAGGAAAAGGATTTATTTTTGTACCACAGACCAGAGCAAGCTGGCTATCTGCTGCATGGCTCTGAAAAAGGGCGGTTGGTACGTTGTGTTATGGCTTGCAGCTAGGCTATCTGCACTTTTCTGCCCAGCACATTTGATTTTGGCAAAGCCTAATTATTTGCATTTTATATCATGCTTGTGGGGGCGGGGGGATGTAGGTCTGTTACCCCACCTAGCCTCAATCCAGTTGAGGCTTTGGAGCCCACATAAGGAATTATGGGAATTAGATCATTACACTACTTTGTTTTTACTAAGCACTTAGTGAACGATCTCATCAGAGCCATACTAGCCGCCTATTCTTTCCAGAAAATTTCCTCATGACCATTTTATATTGGGTCAACCTGGGAACCCAGACCAAGTTTGTAGAATGTTAACTGTTGGGCAGTTTGAACATGGGACCACCAAGTCGGCAGGCAAGTGGGCTAGCCATTTCCTTACATTTTCCGTTATCACAAAATATATTGTTGATTATATTATAGGGGGAGTCTGTGGCTTAGGCGTTGTGAACTCACTTCATAATTCCAGAGTACTGGTTTCGATTCCAACTGCGATCCATTTGGTGGCAGACCGTCTTGCATTGGTTTTAATGGTAGTTTTGAGATCCGACCATTCAATAAACAATTGCAAACTGTTGGATGTAATCTGTGCCTAGTAAAAACACAAACAGTAATTTTAAAACAAAAATGCTGGGGTTGGTTCTGCAACGTCCTGAAAAGGACACACAAGTAACTTTAATATAAGGGTAGCGAAGTGGTCAAGCCATTTGACTCGGGCTTTGAAGATTCTTGGTCTTGGTGCAACTTGTGTGTGGTCTTTGTGGTCTACAGAGTTTGTGCTTCGTCCGGAACTAAGCATTCTGCAGAGAAAGACTGAGCCGTGTGGGATAAAACCCCAGTGCAGTGAAGTGGATCCTCTGAACTTAAAACTGTTATCACTGTGTTTGATAACATCAGATGTTTACACTAGAACCTTGATTATCCAGCTTGCTATTATCCAGACACCGTATCATCCAGCTTAATTTAGAAAAAAAATCTGGGTAATGAAATAAGGAATCATTTACTTTGCTAAACCGTTGCAGTGATTTTATTTTTCCTGCAGTTAGGTCAGACATAATTTTTATCTTAATATGTGTTCAATATTTTCTGTTTTTGAAATTCATTTTTGATTAAAAAAGCATTAAAACCTGTATGGTAGGATACGTAAGACACATTTATAATGTACTGGCCTGTACTTAGAGGTCAGAAAATGGGAATAAGAGCAGGTTTTGTAATAAAAGGGGTGTTTTTAATGATACAGGTGAGGTAGAATATTTATAGAACTCCAGCTTTTTTCTTGTCAAGCTTCCCTTTCTGTCACATTAGGCCAGATATTGCAGTATTTCATACAGTCAGCCTTATCCATTTCTGTCTTTCCATAATCACATCCGTCCTTGTTTCTAGTTTACCCAAACTTCATATTTTATGTTAATATGTTTTTTTTAAACGAGAATAATTTACCCAGTACTTTTTTTGGAGTTTGTTCCTTGTGTTTTAAATAAGAATTTGTATTGTCTGTATTGTGTGTTGACTGACATTTTTACTCTTCTCCTGGTTACATTCAGAGCGAGGTGATGGAAGCACTGCCCAAACTAATCAAACTCAACCCAATGGTTGTGAAAGAAGTGTTTAACCGACTCATGGGAAGCCATGGTAAATCCTTCATTCATTCATTCATTCATTCATTCATTCATCGAGTCATAATTTAATCAATTTATTTAATGACTCATTCAAGTGATTATTAGGTCATTTAAGTTATTCATTAATCTAGTCATTGATTAACTCATTCTTGTTTTAATTAATGTATTAATTCATTGTACCAGTTAATATTTCATTTATCTAGTTGTTCTTTATTTAATTCATTAAAACAGTTATTCAGGCTATCTTCTGTTTACCCTTACCAGCAGTACACTGAGTAGGCACATCAAATAGTAATGATTAGTTTCACAGTTTGATGAATATGATCCTAGGATGAAATCACTCAGATTATCTTTGCATCTGAGCCCTGAGATATTAATGCTTTAACCATTATTCATCTCCTGTCTCTAAATGTTTTCAGCATGTATATACAGGTTCACACTTTTTTTTTTCTGGTGAAAAGACATTCTGTGTATATTACCAGGTTCTCTGTGTGTGCATCATGTCCAGTGCCATAACCTTTTCCTCACCTTCTGATTCACCAGAATTGTTTGTTTTTCTCTTTAACTTTTTTGTCCCAGTGACCTAGAAAGAACACAAAACCACTGACCCATATTTTGCTCCCAGTGGAGCATAGGCATTCAGGAATTGCATGCCAAGCCCTTTACAAACATATTTACCATTAGATGGTTTTAGCATCTCAAGTTTTCAACAGAATAAGGTAAGTGTGGTATGTAGAATTACTTGTATGTTTGTAATATTTCAGTGAGCAACGATTCGACGTATCACTCACCGCTGACGCCAGTGGAGCTTCTTGTGGCTCTGCACAATATTGACTCTGCCAAGTGTGACATTAAAACTACAATCAAAGGTATGTGTGTGTGTGTGTGTTAATTTATAGCAGCATTGAGAAGACTGGTTCAAAGATTACAGTTTTTTTAGTAATTTAAACTGAAAACGGTCTTATAGTAAATACAGTGAGGGTCACAGTTTTTGTAGTAATTTAAATGCAACTTTGTGTAGTTAGTGACACTTCAGTATTTTGTAGTAAGTGTAACTGAGGATTAAAACAGTTTCATAGAAACAAACTAAGAATACAGTTTTTGTTGTAATTTAAACTGAAAACGGTCTTATAGTAAATACAGTGAGGGTAACAGTTTTTGTAGTAATTTAAACTGAAAACGGTCTTATAGTAAATATAGTGAGGGTAACAGTTTTTGTAGTAATTTAAACTGAAAACGGTCTTATAGTAAATACAGTGAGGGTAACAGTTTTTGTAGTAATTGTAGTAACGTTAAATACTGAGGGTAACAGTTTTTGTAAATTTAAACTGAAAACGTTCTTATAGTAAAATACAGTGAGGGTCACAGTTTTTGTAGTAATTTAAACTGAAAACGGTCTTATAGTAAATACAGTGAGGGTAACAGTTTTTGTAGTAATTTAAACTGAAAACGGTCTTATAGTAAATACAGTGAGGGTAACAGTTTTTGTAGTAATTTAAACTGAAAACGGTCTTATAGTAAATACAGTGAGGGTAACAGTTTTTGTAGTAATTTAAACTGAAAACGGTCTTATAGTAAATACAGTGAGGGTAACAGTTTTTGTAGTAATTTAAACTGAAACGGTCTTATAGTAAATACACAGTGAGGGTCACAGTTTTTGTAGTAATTTAAACTGAAAACGGTCTTATAGTAAATACAGTGAGGGTAACAGTTTTTGTAGTAATTTAAACTGAAAACGGTCTTATAGTAAATACAGTGAGGGTAACAGTTTTTGTAGTAATTTAAACTGAAAACGGTCTTATAGTAAATACAGTGAGGGTAACAGTTTTTTGTAGTAATTTAAACTGAAAACGGTCTTATAGTAAATATAGTGAGGGTAACAGTTTTTGTAGTAATTTAAACTGAAAACGGTCTTATAGTAAATACAGTGAGGGTAACAGTTTTTGTAGTAATTTAAACTGAAAACGGTCTTATAGTAAATACAGTGAGGGTAACAGTTTTTGTAGTAATTTAAACTGAAACGGTCTTATAGTAAATACAGTGAGGGTAACAGTTTTTGTAGTAATTTTAAACTGAAGACGGTCTTATAGTAAATACAGTGAGGGTAAACAGTTTTTGTAGTAATTTAAACTGAAAACGGTCTTATAGTAAAATACAGTGAGGGTAACAGTTTTTGTAGTAATTTAAACTGAAACGGTCTTATAGTAAATACAGTGAGGGTAACAGTTTTTGTAGTAATTTAAACTGAAAACGGTCTTATAGTAAATACAGTGAGGGTAACAGTTTTTGTAGTAATTTAAACTGAAAACGGTCTTATAGTAAATACAGTGAGGGTAACAGTTTTTGTAGTAATTTAAACTGAAAACGGTCTTATAGTAAATACAGTGAGGGTAACAGTTTTTGTATAATTTAAACTGAAAACGGTCTTATAGTAAATACAGTGAGGGTAACAGTTTTTGTAGTAATTTAAACTGAAAACGGTCTTATAGTAAATACAGTGAGGGTAACAGTTTTGTAGTAATTTTAAACTGAAAACGGTCTTATAGTAAATACAGTGAGGGTAAGTTTTTGTAGTAATTTAAACTGAAAACGGTCTTATAAGTAAATACAGTGAGGGTAACAGTTTTTGTAGTAATTTAAACTGAAAACGGTCTTATAGTAAATACAGTGAGGGTAACAGTTTTTGTAGTAATTTAAACTGAAAACGGTCTTATAGTAAATACAGTGAGGGTAACAGTTTTTGTAGTAATTTAAACTGAAAACGGTCTTATAGTAAATACAGTGAGGGTAACAGTTTTTGTAGTAATTTAAACTGAAAACGGTCTTATAGTAAATACAGTGAGGGTAACAGTTTTTGTAGTAATTTAAACTGAAAACGGTCTTATAGTAAATACAGTGAGGGTAACAGTTTTTTTGTAGTAATTTAAACTGAAAAACGGTCTTATAGTAAATACAGTGAGGGTAACAGTTTTTGTAGTAATTTTAAAACTGAAAACGGTCTTATAGTAAAACAGTGAGGGTAACAGTTTTTTGTAGTAATTTAAACTGAAAACGGTTTATAGTAAATACAGTGAGGTAACAGTTTTTTGTAGTAATTTAAACTGAAAACGGCTTATAGTAATACAGTGAGGGTAACAGTTTTTGTAGTAATTTAAACTGAAAACGGTCTTATAGTAATACAGTGAGGGTAACAGTTTTTGTAGTAATTTAAACTGAAAACGGTCTTATAGTAAATACAGTGAGGTAACAGTTTTTGTAGTAATTTAAACTGAAACGGTCTTATAGTAAATACAGTGAGGGTAACAGTTTTGTAGTAATTTAAACTGAAAACGGTCTTATAGTAAATACCAGGGTAACCTTTTTTGTGTAGTAATTTAAACTGAAGACGGTCTTATAGTAAATACAGTGAGGGTAACAGTTTTTGTCAGTATTTTGCTGAAGACGGTCATTATAGTAAAACAGTGAGGGTACAGTTTTAGTAATTTAAACTGAAAACGGTCTTATAGTAAATACAGTGAGGGTAACAGTTTTGTAGTAATTTAAACTGAAAACGGTCTTATAGATACAGTGAGGGTAACAGTTTTTGTAGTATTTAAACTGAAACGATAAAATATAGTGGGGTAAGGCATGTTAAACTGAAATGGTCTTATTTCAAAGGGTATTTGTAGTAATTTTAAACTGAAAAACGGTCTTATAGTAATACAGTGGGGTAAAGTTTTTGTATAATTTAAACTGAAGATAAAGCTGATTTGTAAAAAAAAAAACACTTTAAGACCCTTTTCACGCCTTAGCATATAGGGCTAGACCTATATTTTTAAAGACATGTTACAAGATGGGTGATGGCCAGCATCAATTAAATTTTTTGAGTTAAAGTGAAGATTATGAAGGAATGAGTGAATGAATGACTGTCTCATATTCTCACCAGCTGTTTTCAGCATAAGTCTGTCTGAAAATCTCCTTGCACGCTTGTGCGGTGCAGTGTGTCCTAGGATACCCTCTTCTTTTCCTGCCTGGGTCTTACCCTCTGAAATCTGGATACACTTTTTTTTGTTTGGGCGTCTTGGTGTCCTAGGCGGAATAAACTGATAATTTTTTTTTTACAGAATTGGATCACAGATCTAACTCAGAGATTAAGAAAATAATTTAATGACATTATGAAAATCATGTTTTAGCAAAAAACATCCATAACAGAACAGCTAAACTTGATATCTGGAATATAGTACGGTAGAAATATATTAGGGCCAGAGTACAATCTCAAACACTAAACTTCAGGGAACAGATTACAAGCCACAATGTATAAAATGTCCAAGAACACTTACCTAGACAGTAACCTGATTACCATATGGAGAGAAAGAAACCTGAACAATTTGTTTTGAAGCGGCCATGTGCTTCAGCGAGCAACATTATGAGAGGTGCTGGCCATTGTCATGCAACAGTTGATGGAACAGGACCCTCTGCCCACGCTTCTCATGAGGACTGTGATCCAGTCCCTGTCCATGTACCCACGGCTGATTGGGTTTGTTCTCAACATTTTGCAGAGACTCATCATTAAAAAGGTATTGTTATCTAAAATTGTCAAATAGAAAGAGATGAAGCAAGGAAGTTGAAGATGTATTTAAGTTTTTCTGAGAGAAAAGGGGGAAAGGCATGTTAAAGATATGGCCATTTCAATTATTTTGAGAAGAAGAAAATGGATAAAGGCATGTTAAAGATACAGCTGTTTCAGTTATTTTAAGAGAAGAAGAAAAGGGGGAAAGGCATGTTAAAGATACACCCCTTACAATTTTTTTGAGAGAAGAAGAAGCAATGTTAAATATACATAACAATGTTAGTTATTTTGTGAAAAGGCGAGAAAAACATACTAAATATCTGTCTCCATATCATTATTTAGAGAGAACAAGAGGGAAAACACTATTTCATCTGTTTTCATCTGTGTGAGTGTGCATATGTGTGTTAGCCATATCACTTGTTCTGAGAAGAAGAGGAAAAACATTAAATATACATAGTCATGTCAGTTATTCTCCGAGAAGTAAATTTATTTGTTACTGTCATCATCAAGTGCCTTGCCAGTGGCCTGGGCACTCATGCCTCTCCACAGCTAGTGATCTTCTACAGAACTGATCAGTTCCTGCGCTGATGCTCTTCTAAGCCATGGCAAAAGACTATCAAGAATCTTCTTGTGTTTGTTTTCTCCTATCTCTCTTTCCACAGATCTTTCCAGTTGTCACTTGTTTCAGTTTCTTTCTTTCCATAACATGGCTAGAAAGTAACTTTTTTTTTTTTTTTTGTGTATGTGTGATAAACTGGCGTCTAGATAACTCATTTTTGCTGTTGAAGGAATTTGTGATTGTGTAGTCCAGTTAAATTGTAACCACTGTTCGTTCATTACCCCCTGTAGGTGTGGAAACAGAAGAAAGTCTGGGAAGGTTTCATAAGATGCTGCCAGCGGGCCAAACCACAGTCCTTCCAGGTGCTGTTGCAGCTGCCTGCCGCACAGCTCAAGGATGTGTTTGAGGTCTGCCCTGATCTCAGGGAGCCACTTCTGACTCATGTGCAGAGCTTCACAGAAAATCAGGTTAGTTTTGTTGCGTTTGTTGCTCTTATTTTCTTCTATATGTTAGATTGGTGTTCCCTATTTGTGGGTCAGCGGAACAGATTTAAGACATCTGTGATATTTACAAAAATTAAAAAAAACAAACATAAACTGAAGCTTGAATCAGTGCTGTCGCCACGGTCTATGCTGATTAGGATGTTATTTTTGTCCCCGACAGGAAAAAAAAAATCCACAACTTTGCCAGGGATTTGAACCTGGGTTTCCACCTTGAGAGCCCAGCACTCTAACTGTTCTGCCAGCCACTCCTCAAAAATCTAATATACATGGCAGGATTGTTGTTGCTGAGAGAGACAGCAGTGTAGTCTCATATTATTTTCTATCTGGTTTTCTCCTCTCAGTTTCATCTCTCTCTAATTTATCTTTATTGTGCCTCATTCTCTCCTCTGGATTTGGGTTGCTTTTTTCCACCACCCAGATATAGTTTGCTTTTTCCATCACCCATCTCTTTCCGATATTTATTTATATATTTTATTTTTTTCAAACACACATACACAGTATGGGGATAGTGCGCAGGTGTTAAAAGCTTCTTCCTAACTGCTGGCATAATTCAGGTTCATTTATGCAAGATTATTTATTAATTACTATGGAAATAAGATGTCAGAGAAAGGCTTGCAGGAGTGATCAGCAGAGACAAAAATCCGGAATGAGGTCATAAGAGAAAAAAGTCATTCAGAAAAGTATATCATGCCAGGCAACACAAATATATGTAATCTTTTTTATAATTTGTTTATGTTTTCTGATTGCAGAAGGCTCACATCAACAAGGCAGTTATGACTGTGCTGGAGGAGGCGGAGTTGCGCGCAGAGATGGCGGAGGCGGAGAAGGTTGATCATGTATGTGGTTGTATTTTTATTTTCTTGATTGTTAGCATTTGGGGTAATCATATTTGTGTCTCTTAGAAACGAAGAAATTTTAGAGGCGGCATTAGATAAAAGAGGAGAAAGAAAGAAATGGGCATGGAACTGTAGAGATTCAGAGTCAGATCATTCTTAAGATATTTTGCTTTGCTGGATTGGGGTGCTCGACATGTCCAGCCCCAGATGTGCATACAGGGGTTAGTGTGAGAAAGCATAAACATCTTCTATAACTGATAGGAAAACTATAAACAAAACAAGTAAAGGGACAGTTGGTCAAAACAAGTAAAGGGACAGTTTCTCAAAACAAGTAAAGGGATAATTGGTCAGAACAGGTAATGGGATAATTGGTCAGAACAGGTAATGGGACAATTTGTCAAAACAAGTAAAGGGACAATTTCTCAAAACAAGTAAAAGGATAATTGGTCAGAACAGGTAATGGGATAATTGGTCAAAACAAGTAAAGGGATAATTGGTCAAAACAAGTAAAGGGATAAATGGTCAAAACAAGTAAAGGGATAATTGGTCAAAACAAGTAAAGGGATAAATGGTCAAAACAAGTGAAGGGATAATTGGTCAAAACAAGTGAAGGGATAATTGGTCAAAACAAGTGAAGGGATAATTGGTCAAACAAGTAAAGGGATAATTGGTCAAAACAAGTAAAGGGATAATTGGTCAAAACAAGTAAAGGGATAATCGGTCAAAACAAGTAAAGGGATAATTGGTGGTCAAAACAAGTAAAGGGATAATTGGTCAAAACAAGTAAAGGGATAAATGGTCAAAACAAGTAAAGGGATAATTGGTCAAAACAAGTAAAGGGATAATTGGTCAAAACAAGTAAAGGGATAATTGGTCAAAACAAGTGAAGGGATAATTGGTCAAAACAAGTGAAGGGATAATTGGTCAAAACAAGTAAAGGGACAGTTGGTCAGAACAAGAGAGGTGACATTTTGATTAAAAAAACAAGTTAGGTATTTTAAGAAAATAAGTTGAGGGATAGTTGACCAAAAGCAGTAAGGTGATATTTCCTATGAACCCTGTAGATGGCCAGTGTCTGTTGGACATGTTATGAGAAAGAACGGACCTGACAACTTGGTAATGTCTAGCAAAATTGATGGAAAGAGACCAAGGGGAAGGCAAAGAGGTAAATTCCTGAATGGGGTAAGACAAGAACACTGGACTGATCGCATGATTCTGATGATCATATGAGATGGCAAAACATGACGGTCCCGGCTTGTGAGCAGAGCACATGATAATGATGATAATAAACACAATTGGTGTCATTGTATTATCTTCATTGTTTTGTGTATATTTTCAGGTAAATACTGGCAAGGAACGAGAGAAGGAAGAAGTCCACAAGATTCAAAGCATGACAGATAGTACCCCTCAGAAGATGTCAACCTTGACGGTTGTAAAAACTGTTGAGAATACACCGTCAGTGTAAGTGACAGTACCACACAGCAGACTTTGTTGTTTAGGAAAATGTGATATTGCATAAATTGAGGTAGATGAATGAATAGCTGCACTGGGATCCCTGAATGTGTTTCAAGATCCCCGAATGGGTTTCAAGGTCCCGTTGTGGGTGGGGGGGGGGGGGGATGTGGTTGGTGAAAGAATAGACCCACTGCGCCCCTAACAGGCATGTTGTAAAGTCTACTTATTAGGAGTGTCTATTTTAAACTCAGAGTGCATCTGCCTGAGAGGCCAGGAACCAGCAGTCTGCATACATATGAGCCAGATCTGTAAAATGGATGTGCACGTAAAACTCAAGTTCTGGAACAAGTCTTAAATCCTGAAGTGGATAAACAACAAGAATAGAGTTTACAGTCAATGAATGCACAGAAGAAGAACAAGATTTCTGTACAGCATCTTTTCCTCACCTCTTGATTGACTGGTTCCCGTTATATTGATTAGCTTAGCATTACTAAAATTGGATTAGAATTGTAACTGTTTTATTCTATTAATTGATGTCTGGGCTTAGGCATTCTGAACACTTTTCATATTGCTGAGGCAGGGGTTTGATTCCAGCTGCAGGCAAATTTGGCAGCAAATCACCTTGCACAGGTTACGACTGGTATCGAGAGCTGACCATTCAGAAACAGTGGCAAACTACTGAACATCAAAGATTTAATAAAAACACAAACAGCCAAAAAATGCTGGGGTTGCTTCTGCAACTCCCTCAAAGTACATCTGCCGGTGAGGCAGGGAACGGCAAACAAATAAGCCAGTAAAACGGATGTACATGCAAAACTCAGGTCCAGGTGTTTCGTCCCTTTGGACTTTTGGCTTTTACCTGGACACACAAACAACTTTTTTTTCAGTATTGAAAAAAAAAAAAAAAAAAAAGAATAATCTTGTAACATGTACCTTGATATCATCAGGTCGGAGACAGTGAAAGAAAAGACAAGTAGCATCAAGATATCTTTCCCCTCAAATAAGGGAGGTGAGAAGCCTGAGAGGAAAAGGAGCCATGAGCGGGAGTTTAGCAAGGAACGCAGAAAAGATGATGAGAAAAACAAAGATGATGATAGGAGCGAAGAGGATTACTTATCTAGGAGGAGTTCAAAGGTCAGTGTTTTCCTTTTCAGATGGCTTGTTTTAATTGTGGTGTTTCTTTGTTGGAAAATATGGTAAATAAATTTCTGTTTCTGCCTGTGGTCCTTACTCTTAGAGAGATGATAATGATCAGCTTCCACTTTTGCTGTCGAGTGTCTTGGGGAGGAATAAATAGTAGGCCGGTAGTTGATGGATGGCTCTACTTGTGTGGGTTTCGGGGCCAGATTGGTGGGGGGGGGGGGGGGAGCTAACATACCCATTCTTTCTTTAGCAAGCATGTTGTAAAAGGTGAATGATTAGGGATAGCCAGATAGACTGTCTGGTTGTGCACCACTTGATGGTGGTAGATATTGTGAGGGGCCCTGTGGGAGCAAGTGAACAGTGTGGAGGCACAAATAGATCAGTATGGGGGCACAAATAGATCAGTGTGGGAGCACAAATAGATCAGTGTGGGGGCACAAATAGATCAGTGTGGAGGCACACATAGATCAGTGTGGGGAGCACAAATAGATTAGTGTGGAGGCACAAATAGATCAGTGTGGAGGCACAAATAGATCAGTGTGGAGGCACACATAGATCAGTACCATTCTTGCACACCCCACCAACTTCTGGTCTTGTAGAGGTGAAGGAATCTGGCTTGAAAGGGTGACAGAGTTTTCTGCAGCCTAGTTCCTCCGGAAACTGAACTGTTTTGCCTGAACAAGTGGAAGAGTCTCGACATCAGCTTCACTGTAAAGGATGTAACACTATATCTATGGCTCAGACATGCTGTATCTATGGCTCAGACAAGCTGTATCCATGGCCTAGACAAGCTCTATCTATGGCTCAGACAAGCTCTATCTATGGCTCAGACAACCTCTATATATGGCTCAGACAAGCTATATCCATGGCCTAGACAAGCTCTATCTATGGCTCAGACAAGCTATATCTATGGCTCAGATAAGCTCTATTCATGGCTCAGACAAGCTCTATCTATGGCTCAGACAAGCTCTATCTATGGCTCAGACAAGCTCTATCTATGGCCCAGACAAGCTCTATCTATGGCTCAAACAAGCTCTATCTATGGCTCAGACAAGCTCTATCTATGGCTCAGACAAGCTATATCTATTGCTCAGATAAGTTATATCCATGGCTTAGATAAGCTCTATCTATGGCTCAGACAAGCTCTATCTATGGCTCAGACAAGCTATATCTATGGCTCAGACAAGCTCTATCTATGGCTCAGACAAGCTCTATCTATGGCTCAGACAAGCTATATCTATGGCTCAGACAAGCTATATCTATGGCTCAGACAAGCTCTATCTATGGCTCAGACAAGCTATATCTATTGCTCAGATAAGCTCTATCCATGGCTCAGACAAGCTCTATCCATGGCTCAGACAAGCTCTATCCATGGCTCAGACAAGCTCTATCCATGGCCTAGACAAGCTCTATCCATGGCTCAGACAAGCTCCATCCATGGATCAGACAAGGTATATCCATGGCTCAGATAAGCTCTATCCATGGCCTAGACAAGCTCCAAATATGGCTCAGACAAGCTCTATCCATGGCTCAGACATGCCCTAAGGATTCACAAGCAGCTAACTAAATCTAATCAGCCTGATAATACTGTGACAGTCTTGTTTGCTCATGGCTTGATATTTCTCCAGAGCATTCACAAACAACCAAGAAGCATCTGTCTCCCTGGTTGACTCAGGCTGAAATTGTTTCGACTTAAAATCGGGGGGAATAAAGGTGGGTATCATGATTTTGACCACACCAAGAGCCAGTTGGTGTATACAAATATGTGTCTACCCACATTTGCCTGCCAAAAATTGTTCGTTTCTGTGACTTGAACAAAAAGTGTCTTTAACATCTTGCAGTCTAACCAACTGTGGTCTTGTAGAGGTGACGTGTCAGTATCATTCCTGCACACCCTACTTCTCATCTTGTAGAGGTGACGTGTCAGTATCATTCTTGCAGAGGACTTCTGGTCTGAGAGGTGAAGTGTCAGTACCATTCGCACACCCCACCAACTCTGGTCTTGTAGAGGTGAAGTGTCAACCATTCTTGCACACCCCACCATCTGTCTTGCCGAGGTTAAGTGTCAGTACATTCGAGCACACCCCACCAACTTCTGGTCTTGTAGAAAGTGTCAGTACCATTCTTGCACACCCCACCAACTTCTGGTCTTGTAGAGGTGAAGTGTCAGTACCATTCTTGCACACCCCACCAACTTCTGGTCTTGTAGAGGTGAAGTGTCAGTACCATTCTTGCACACCCCACCAACTTCTGGTCTTGTAGAGGTGAAGTGTCAGTACCATTCTTGCACACCCCACCAATTTCACGCCTTGTAGAGGTGAAGTGTCAGTACCTTCTTTTCTGGTCTTGTAGAGGTGAAGTGTCAGTACCATTCTTGCACACCCCACCAACTTCTGGTCTTGTAGAGGTGAAGGAATCTGGCTTGAAAGGGTGACAGAGTTTTCTGCAGTATAGTTCCTCCGGAAACTGAACTGTTTTGCCTGAACAAGTGGAAGAGTCTCGACATCAGCCTCACTGTTAAGGATGCAAGCTATATCTATGGCTCAGACAAGCTGTATCCATGGCTCTGACAAGCTCTATCTATGGCCTTGACAAGCTCTATGGCTCAGACAAGCTCTATCCATGGCCTAGACAAGCTCTATCTATGGCTCAGACATGCCCTAAGGATTCACAAGCAGCTGACTAAATCTAATCAGCCTGATAATACTGTGACAGTCTTGTTTGCTCATGGCTTGATATTTCTCCAGAGCATTCACAAACAACCAAGAAGCATCTGTCTCCCTGGTCGACTCAGGCTGAAATTGTTTTGACTTAAAATCGGGGACAATAAAGGTGGGTATCGTGATTTTGACCACACCAAGAGCCAGTTGGTGTATACAAATATGTGTCTACCCACATTTGCCTGCCAAAAATTGTTCGTTTCTGTGACTTGACAAAAAGTGTCTTTAACATCTCAGTCTAACAGTGTACAGTGAAACTAACATCATTTGCTTCTCTCATTGACAGGGTTCAAAAAGAGAGGACCTGGATGAGGAAGAATCAAAAGCGAAATCGTCTTCATCGTCGTCATCAAAATCAAAGTCATCCTCATCATCGTCACGCCGTTACACATCGAGCAGCAGCAAGAAAAAATAAGTGACCACGTTCTTTTTCTGTTTGTTTTGAAGTTGAGAGCAATTTCATTGATTTCACTTTGTATAAACCTTTACCGCTGAATGATTCAGTTTTGTAATGACATCTTTCCAATCAGGCCTTGTTGCAATGCATTACCTTGTTTTGGTTTTTACATTTGCGTTTTATTTTTGTTTTGTTGCGGTCATTTGGTGATGTTTACAGCAGATAAGATTAATTTCTGTTCTTGGATATAGGGACATCTTGTTGGGGGTGACTTGAAGTATACAACAGATATATTAATTCAGTCTTTCCTCTTCCATCCTGGGTTGTAGGGACATCTTGTTGGGGGTGACTTAAAGTGTAGAACAGATAGATTAATTCAGTCTTTCCTCTTTTACCATGGGTTGTAGGGACATCTTGTTGTGGGTGACTTGAAGTGTACAACAGATAGATTAATTCAGTCTTTCCTCTTTTACCATGGTTTGTAGGGACATCTTATTGGGGGTGATTTGAAGTTTACAACAGATAGATTAATTCAGTCTATCCTCTTCTACCCTGGGGTGTAGCCTGATCTTGTGGTTTTGTGTGTGTGTGTGTGCTTTTGTGTGAGAGCAGAATACATGCATGCTGATTTGAATTGCCAATTTAGGAGAAATTTAACTATGCCAGACAGAGGGAGCAACAACAATGTCCTCCCAGTTTTCAAAGCCAGTACCACTTCTGTCTTTTATCCCCCGTTGGTGTATACACTTTCGGCAGTCTCACAACAAGACTCACTCATGTTTGTTTGGATTTGTTTTGTGTGGGATCACTGTCTTGCATTCACAGCTGTAAACTCCAGTGGAATGTCTTAGTTGTTCGTCCTTTTCTGTATTTTAGTTTTGTTCCAGAGCCTGAGTTTTGCATGCACATCAGTTTAACAGACCAGGTTGATTTGTAAGCAGACTGTTGTTTCTTTGCTCCTCAGGCAAAGAAATGTGATATTGCATGAATTAAGGTGGATGAATGAATATGCTGAAATGGGGTCTCTGAATGTGTTTCAATGTCTGGTTGTAAGGGGGGGGGGGGGTGGACGAATAGACCTAGAGCTATTCCAGCTTTGAAGGAAATGTTGATCCTGTCTACACTTAACAGGCTCCCAACTGGGACCTGTTTTCCAGGATGACTGCAGAAAGGTCTCAATAAGTCATGACCAGTTTTTGGTCAGATTTTGATGCTCCACCAAGCGTTGAGCTAAGAACTGACATCAGAGCACTCAGGACATTCCCATAAGCGCTCCTTCCTCATCTTTAGCAGCTATCGAAGAGTTCCAATTCTAGTGGTGCGAGAAGCAGTTCGATTACCTGTCCATCTTGCTTTTCCTCTGAGAGTGTCACTCCTAGCTGTACCATTCTCTTCAGACTCTAAGGATTTGAATGTTTCCTCTGCATTGTTGCCTTGCTGCCAAAGGGCTTTGACCATATCTAGCTTGTCATGCATAAATTCACCACCCAGTGGTGCAGAACCAGCCAGTCTTTCTGCCTGTTCATTTCCCAACATAGAAGATACTGCGCCGTGTGGTTCAGCACCTGTGCATCTCTTCTGTGGGATGAAGTAGCCAGTCCAAAGCCAGCCTGCCTTTGTCACTTCCTTTAACATGCAGGGTAGGTCATGGTGTGACTTCTGTGTCTGCCACACGGGCCCTGGCAACACACTCGCCAGAGTCATTGAGGCTTGCAGAATGTCTGTATATCTCTTGTTTCATTCCCCTGCATATTTGCTTGTCTGAATACAGTTATACTGCTGTGCCATGTGGGTATTATATGCTGTAGCTCAGTTGCTAGGAACTTGCCTGAGGGTCCGAATGTCTTGATTTGAGGTCCGCACTAGGTGGATTT